AAAATTAATTTTCTCATATGATTCAACACTATCTAAGGTTGCATTTACTAATATGACAAGTCAGCATATTTAAACTATAATTTAAATATATTATTTTACTTTACACAGGGAACTTTATGAAATGCTAAACTATCACACCGTATTATAATATTAAACATTAATATTATTATTATTGTTGTTATTGTTGTTGTTGTTGTTGTTGTTGTTGTTGTTGTTGTTGTTGTTGTTGTTGTTGTTGTTGTTGTTGTTGTTGTTGTTGTTGTTGTTGTTGTTGTTGTTGTTGTTGTTGTTGTTGTTGTTGTTGTTGTTGTTGTTGTTGTTGTTGTTGTTGTTGTTCTTCTTCTTCTTCTTCTTCTTCTTATTATTATTATTATTATTATTATTATCAATATCATTATGATTTTTGTTAATAATACATTAATTTTACATAAGATAAATATGAATAAAATATTTTGTATGCGATCTTCAATAAAGATATAATCAGTAGTATTATTGTTCTTGAATTTTTATTAAATGTCTCGATGATTCGTATTAATAATAAATACTTTTTAAAATGAATATTGTTAAGCAATTTATTATGTAAGGTTTTATGTCCTTTAGGACTCGTTCGATTATTTAAGAGTAAATTTATCAGAAGATCTCGTTAATTGTGGTTTACAAAGATTTTTATTACGAATTTTAAGTGGTCTGCGAGTTTTCACAATCCTTTTATACTCCATTACATAGTTAAAAAGAAATTAAGAATCTTACAATATTTATAAAAAGTTAACTATTCCTCGTTATTGCATATCCTTACACAGTGATTACCATTCAATTTCAAATTATCGAAATAGTGGTTATTATATTTATATCTCTAGTCAGTCAAATATGTAGGCAATAGTCGAGGTCACCTAGCGTTGACGATTAAATGCCATTGATGGTTCATTATTAAGCCGATTATCACCTAGTCTCACCTTACCTAACCATTTATCAATTTAATGACAGAATTTTTTCACCAACCAATACTTACATTAATATATGTTTTCGAATATTGTCGGTTTTCTTACTATCGCGACAAAATTATTTGTAAAAGGCTAAATAGATTACGAAGCCTTGTAATTCCGAAGGATCCAGATAATAGAAGCGAATGTTTGAACATTTTATCAGATTAAAGGTTTTCCATATTCTTGAATCGTTTTAAAGCCCCATTTTCGAACGTATAATTTTTAAATATCGACAAGTAAATCTTCCGAGTAAATATTGGTACGCATGAAAATAGGAGTGAAATGAGAATTATATTGGCAAGTCGAAGGTATCGAGTAGCTTATCTTCAGAATACAAATAAATCTACAAATGCTGAATCTCCAGTTTTCACAATAATAAATGTAAAATAGCTCGTAAAATAATTATAATTAAAAGCTACCATTCACGTTGAAGACAAATGGAATTAGCAAGAGTTATAATAATAAAATACAATAAAACATCGCTAAAACTCTATATGGACCTGTCCTTTATTTCAGTAAAAAACGATCGCGCCCATGCATTCCAATCCCACGCGAATATGTAGATCTAACGTTCCTTCATATGAGATGCCTTCTTATGCCGTATACACAACTTTTCATTCTCCATCTTTCATCTCGGTTTTATGAATACTAATAATCATATATGCACAAGGAATTACTTTCTAAAAAAGTTTCACGAGCGCCTTTAAAAATTGCAATCGGTAACATGTCTGGGTCAGCTAATGAAATCATTGAGATAATTCTTATCATAATAAAAAGGATTTTTAGAATTCAGCTTTTCGTGGCGGTTAATATGTATTTTAATGGGAAATTGCGCTTGTCGATAGGGCTTTAGCGAGGGTTTGATGTGAATGTAGACTTGCGCGTTTGATCATTTTCATCGTAGCAATAACGATCAATTCAAATATGGTCAAATTGTTCATCGTATTTCGGCTATTTAGAAGTTTTCATAGGCATTCATTTCATAGGCAAGTACCTAATAGGTAGCAACGTCAGTAATGATTTCGCAAATAAATGCTAAGACTAATTGAATAGTGTACACATACATTATTATTATTATTATTATTATTATTATTATTATTATTATTATTATTATTATTATTATTATTATTATGTTAAGAATATCTTCTGATTTAGCCTTTACTTTTGTTGAAGATCGAGAATTGTAAATCGAGAATTTATGGGCATTCAAAAATTAATATTCATTTCGCTAATAAATAAGCATTGAGCGTCCATATTATAAAGAATAATTTCCTAATATTTCAGTGCATAAGACACTTGCTCTAGTATTCGTTTACGTATGTATGTACGCATCAATGATCCACCAAATAATACATAAGAGATATTATATTTGCCGAACTTTTATAAACATTGAAAGGTTACACGAGAACCGTTAGAGGATAAAATTTGTTGTCGTAGGAGCAGACTGTCGTTCTAATAAAATGTTATCATAAAATAATTTTATTTAAATAAAACTTTTGAATGCACACGCAGACACACGCACGCACATCGACAAAACTTATACTAAAGGGTATTTCAAGTCTATTATATAAGTTTTCTCGTATTCAAACATCTATTTTCTTCGCGAGACAACCGGACATAGACATTGAATTATAAATAGTCCATTATTTAATCGTCAAATTTATAATCTTAGTTATATTTCTAATATTTTTAAGGGGATCGGACACTTGTTTAAAATGGTAACAAACGTATTTTCGTTCTTTATTGCGTGAGGTGGTTGGTGCCAAACAGTTATTAGCGGGTACATTCATCCCGCTCTCTTAACAACTAAAATTAAACATTTCCAATTACATAATTTAGAGGCATTATTAAATTTATTATTCGTGATTATGTCGGTTATTTACATTCTATTATTATTATCAAAACGAACATCTCGTCGTTCGTACCTCGATGAGTACCAGCGCCGAATCATCGAGTTCACCAACTCTCTCTCTCTCTCTCTCTCTCTCTCTCTCTCTCTCTCTCTATCTCTCGCTCAACAAAATTCCCTGCCCCTAAAGTCCAGAGTCTAAAATCAGATTAAAAGCTAAAAAATGGGCATCATTTGGCAACCGGAGTTTTTTCCGGAGCTACGTTCCAATTTGTCGCTGGTCGCTGCAGCGGTGCCTTGGCTTTAGTAGCGATCCGCTTTCGGAGTCCGGAGTTTCGGTCTGCGTGGGCGTCGTAGTATATATGGGACTGTTCGGGGACCGCCTAGGGATCGAGGCACAATGTACGCTTTACAATGTCTCACGGAATCAATGTGGATAAGGCGCTAAACGAGCGTAAAATATATGTCGTGGCTCACTTGTAACTAGGCACGGGAAAACGGAGTTGCCGCCTCGCGATTATTTATGCGGATAAGACGACGATTCGTTTGCCCTTTGTCTTCTCGATTATTTACACTATTCTAATAATATTTTGCAACTCGCGCTGAAAAATCGCACACGTTGCCCGACGTTATTCGTCGATCATATTTCGTTGTTTAAAAACTTTACAAAAAGTTTCCTAATGCAACATAGAGCTGTTTTATTGTCAACAAATTTTTTTTTCATTCTAAGAAACAAACGATCACTTTGCAATTAGACATTTCCTTCTATTCGCCACTTTATCTTAATATCTACATTAATATATAAAGTAATTTTCGCTTTTATAAAATCACAACAATCATTTACGTGATATAAAAATAATGCGCCTATATAGTTTTGCCTTTGTCCATTGTTTCTTTTTACACGCTATTCTCACTCACATTATTAAGACTATTTTATGGCTGGAAACGATATAAGGTAGAATTTCATATTCCTTACTCTTGCGCAGTGCTCGATCTCTACTTCTTATTCTCCACTTTTCTTAGCGCTCTTTCATCATTGAGATCGAAATGCAAGGTTTGCCGGGGATCTTCGCTGCATTCTTATTTTGAAATTTTGATGGCAGGCGATACGATTATTACTTATTACCGGCGATCGCTTCTATCCTAATGTTTGAATTTTTGCTCAAATATTTATCAAAAAGGCCTTAAACGTTAAAGCATTTCATAAACTCGATTATAAATTTTCATTCAATTCATTCTCGATGTTGCTTCCTATACATGCTTCCATAATTTATCCGAAATACAAGAGAATACAAAAGCAATTATGAGTACTAATAAGAGAGAGAGAGAGAGAGAGAGAGAGAGAGAGAGTCCTCCTCTTGTTTATTACATTATTATTTCAATCAAATTTCCAAAAATAAACGTAATATTTTATTAACGGATAGAGCATTTTTTTTTTTTTTTTTTTTTTTTTTTTTCCCCCATAAGATGAAATTTAATCATTTATAAAATATTAAATTGGCATTCTTTTTAGCAGTAGGATATTATTCATGCGATTATATCGATGTAATATTATGGTGCGAATAATTAAAGCTTTATTAAGTAGCCATAGACTATCTATAACAAGCGTATTATCTAAAATAACTTAACATTTGAATAGAATGATCGTCCGCGAACTTTGCAGCGTTCCGATGAAAGGGTCTTAAGCTGCACCTTTAGAGTCTCGGTACATGCACGATACGGGGATAACCGGAACCCGAGTCGCCTACGCACTTTCAACTTCGTCCGATACAGCCTCACGCTCGATCCTTAAGCACGTGTTGCATTAAAGTTACATACGGATACAGGGAACAGTATCTTAGCTTTTTGCTACCTCGTTTATAAATGCCAACAAAATGCAAATTGAAATTATCAATTTATAAGTTAAGAATTCGAAGAAGAATTCGAAGAAGAATTCGAAGAAGAAGAAGAAAAAAAAGAAGATGAAAAAGAAGAAGATGAAAAAGAAGAAAATGAGAAAGAAGAAATTGAGAATCGAGGTTGCATTAATTTTGATTAAGTTTATTACAAAAATGTTCTGTACATTTGATTTCTCTTAAAAATTACCTATTTTACACACATTCACACTCCTACACGCACGCGCGCACACAATATTTTTTATACAAAATGTGAATTTTAGTTAAATACAGAAGTCAGATTGTATGTATTATTTTACAAATATTATATATTTGTAGCAAGGAATAAAATTAATTGATCTCGGCTGTATCCAAAAGAGTATTGAGATTTGTCGGTAACCAGGTTGTTCCGTTATGACAAACGAATAGTATATCACTGTCGATGTATGCTTGAACGTTGCCAACTTTATAAACTTGTTTTCCTTCCCGATATCTATTGGCTAGTGGCATAAATAAAATACCTCGTTCTTCGCACTTCCTTTGTACCAAATCCTTGAAGCCTTGAGGAATCTGCGACGCTGTCCTAACGGCTTCCGCTAATCTCTATAAATATTTATCGGGCATTAAAGTTAGTGAGCATAATTAGATTTAAGTTGAAAACAAGATTTATCGAAAACAAACCTCCATCCTTGGTTGAGAAATTTGTGATATTTGAGAAATTTGTGACTGATTACGTTCCAGACTCGTTAAATATGAAACTTGCTCCACCGAACCTGGCTGAAGTCCTTGTGGTATAGATACGGCTCTATTCATCATTTCCAGTGCTTTTCTAAAGTGCTCTTAACACATAATACACAATTTATGTTTATTTACGCGCAAAAATTAATCAATTAAATAATCAAACAAATTCCCTGCGCCAATATCTTACCTTTGATTATTGGTTCGGCAAGAAGTTTATCGTTAAGCATTCCCTTCCAGCCTGTGTACCAATTGGTTACTTGTTCGTAGTTTGGCGAATGATTTAGCCAAAGACCAAGGACCTGTAGCCACTTGGGGAAAAACAATTTATCTAATAGTGCAGCCATAGTTTGAACAGGGATTAAATCTTTCCATTCGTAAACCCAATTCCATTGGTCAAGATGCTGCTGGTGTGGATTGATAATTAATTCGGAAAGCGCAATCTGTAGCTTTGGTAGGATATTTTTTACTAGAAAAGCATCCATGTCGGCTTTTGTAAAAACTGCCGCCCATGGCTGTAACATTAATCTGGCTGAGCGATCGGATGGATGCCATGCCCCAAGAGCAGAGCCAAGCTTTCTCCGAATTATTGGATATATCAATGTGTCCATGCGATTCTCTGTAACGTATAAAAATAAAAATATAAATTTTGTCAACATTGTCTTTCAAAATGGCATTGCATTATAATTTACTCATTAAAGGTAACCAGGGATGGATCCACGTATGAATTGGAACGGTGTCCGTTAATGGATTCCACTCTTCTACCTCCAATGTTAGTTTAGGTAGAATAACCATGTCTAAGAGATTATCGAAGATCCAAGAAGGAAGGAGCGGTAACCAGTATTCCAGTAAGTCAATAAGATTATCCGGTTGTCTACAAACCCAGCTCCTAAAATTACAGCACAGCGAATAATAACATTGTTTTATAATTATTATTTAACATACATTGGCATAACGTTATTATTACACTCACTGTATAGCACCGCGAATTGATGGCATCCATGCATTCCAAATTAGTTGATCGTAAGGACTCATAGATCGAGTGTGCTGATTCATTTGCCCAAATTCTAATATATCTTTCCACTCTTTAAATAATACTAATGGTAACTTAGATTGTGATAATGGATTCCAATTTGCAAGATGTTCTTTAATTTTAGGTATGATAAAGCTACATGCCAAATCTCCTAAATCATATGCCTTGTACTCTTCGTAATGCCTTTCTTGTAAAATTTTGAAAGCTTCCGCTGTTTCTTTTAAAGTCATCTCACTATTTCTGTCTAATAATTTATTAATCATAGCTAAAGCATTTTCTAATGTCCCAATTAATTGTGCATGCTGATCAACAATCTGAAGTAGAGTTTGTTTTTCAGCTAATAGAGAAATTACTCGATTACAAAGGTGCTTTGTTCTTCTATCATTTTGAATTATATTTTGTTCACACATATCTACAATCATATCTAAATTATGTTGTAATTCTGGTAATGAAAAGTTTACCGTTGTTTTCTTATCTGTCGTTGGTAAGTCTTCGACTGGTTGCAAATGACGTTTACCTAAAGCATGGTAGCCACTAAATACTCGTTGCTCGGGTGTTGTCATGTCGGTAACTTTACATTTAGCAATATCAGCATTTATTATTGGTGCTTTTCTATTATTTCTTAATCTTCCATCTTCTAATACTTCATCCACACTGCGATAAGAGTAGTTTGACTTTTTCTTGTCATTTTTATCAACTTTTCTCCAGTGAGAAGTTCTACTTTTACTTATCTTTTTTAAATCGCCATCCTCAGTCTTTGCTTTAATATCCAAAACTTTTGCAGTTTTTTCTGGTCCATAAGCACCAATAGCACCTCTACCTTTTCTTAAATGAGCTTCAACGGGTGCGCTTATACCTTGTAATTGTTTTCCTAACCCTTTACCTGGTTCAAAACCCATTTGAAGAAGTAATTTTGCACCAATTCCTTTCGTATGAACTTCCCAATTGCCGACTCCGGTTTTCATGAGTTCTGGATTTAATGGAGCACGTTTCTTTCGTAATCCAGCGATATCAGTACCTAATGTGAAATTGTAAGACTCAGCCGCTCGAGTTTTAGGCTTTTCTTCTTCTGATTCGCTACAAATCAAAATTTTAATTGGACAAATTTTTGAAAAATTTTATCGTAAATTATATTCCACATACTAATAATTTATTTATGATAATTATTAAAAATTAAGATAAAAAATTTATAAAATAATGTACAAATAATATAGTTATACACATAGTTAAATGAAATACATATGCACGTATATTTTATAAGTAGATCCTTAATTAACGAATGTAATGTACCTAGAACTATTCTTTATTCTTGCATTGTCGTCGTCATCTTCCTCATCTTCCTCGACTTCTTCCTTTTTTACTTTTGGTTGTCCCGCTTGCTGTATTCCTCCAGGCACAAAACTTACAGGAGCCGTATAATTTTTAGGTGCTCTACTAAAGGACGGTCTTACTTCTTCTTCATCACTATCGCTAGCCCATATACCTTATTAATATAAGACGACAAACTATTAATTAATATGTTACGAATAAATACAGTACTATTGAAATATATATTTTTATTGTAAATTAAATAATTTACAATATAAACAAGTAATATTCCCTATAAATATGTTATAAATTCCATTAATCATATAAATCAATAATTCCATTATTAATAGTTGAATATCAATTTCAATATTGGATTATTCGTAAAGTAAATTTTGTTTCTTAATGTATTAATTATCAATATTTTCAGTTTCACTAATATAAAAACATATAATTGTTATTTTAATTTATTATTCACAATTATTTGGTTTAAAGCTTATTTTACATTATTTTATTATAAATAAGAAATTTAATTATTCTGGCACTCTGATTCATCATGATAGCTCAGTTACTCAATAGTTTGTAGTCCATTAATTTTTATTAAACATCGTTGCAAATAATTGAAAGAGCATATTAAAATTGATATATTATAATACTCTTTCAGAACTTACCTAACATTTGTTGTTTTTTAGACATCTTTCGACGAGAACGGTTTATATTAAATTCATTTTCTAAATCGTAATCCGAGATTTGGAATTTTTCCATCTCGTCGTCGGACATTTTTAACAATTTTATTTAAATAATAGTGTAAAATAAATTTGAAATGATACAATCCTTTTATCAAATATTAGAATTACTTATTAATCCTGCCTTCGTAGACAATACGATAGCTTTTTAAGGTTATGTTGTGATATGTTACATTTGTATATGCATCATGATGAATCACATATGACGTAGTAGTAAATCAACTATATTCCACTACGCACTATTGTCTACTTACTACTACTATTGCAATAATAACCACTGCTACTATTGCACTAATACCACTGCTAACGATAATTGCGCCAATAGAATGTAATTGAAAAGTCAAATAACATTTTAGAAATTCAAGCGAACACTTCTTATTTGAGTGATTGTGTTGATTTTGAATAATAAAAAGATGCTTTGCTTCCGTTTCAAAAATAACAAAGTTTAAAATTAAAAAATCATTTTAATTCTTACTAAAGACTAAACAGTCTATTTTACGTAATATTGTTGATGCGCTGTAGGCGCAGAAAAATAATTGGCACTAAATAATGTTCAATTTTTCAATTTATTGTATATATAAAAGTTTATTTCTTTATAATTAATTGGTTGTCTTTTAAACGACAGTTAGATTCCTACAAATGTTACTTTAGACTACACAATATTGACGCATTAAGGTAATATCATCAATTACTTGCAATAATGACAAAAAAAAAAAAAAACAAAAAAAAAAATAGTGCTATAGCATTGCATATAACAATGTAATATAATAAAAGTAATTATTTATTTTGCAAATAATTTTTATAATTATTCTTCGTTTTTATTTTTTTATTTATTTAAATTTCGATAATTTGACAAAACATTTTTCCACTCTTATCGTTTCTATGGACAATATTATATTTTGATTGTTGAGCCATGAGAAATATTAATATTTGTATTTTTGTTTAAAAAATTTTTAAATTTCAATGAAACCGATTTAAAATTGAAATTTTGCAACAGTAAGGAATTCTTCGATGAACAATAAATTTGTTGATTTTAGTAATTAATCGATATTATTTTCTGGATCTTTTATTTCAGAACTACAGAAGAAGTGTATGATTACTTAATCTTTAAAATTTATTATCTATTGATATGCACAATAGATAAACGTTATACTTACAAATGATTTTCTCATAACTCTGATTTAAAAATAATCTAAAACTGCTGTAAATTCTACTAGCGTTGCAAATATTCCTGTTTTTAGAAATTGCTTGATAATTATTTTAATTTATATGTACACATAGATAAATACATCTACATCTTGAAAATCTGCTTTTCCTTCATTCATTTAAATGCAACGTTTTTCCCCCATACTTAATAATAATAATATGTAATACTAAGATAAATAATACAAATTGAATATTATCTTTTAAAGGCTAATATTCATAAGATGCTTTAATAGTACACGATACTGTATTATTTATAAATGAATTTAAGAGTCTTGGCTTATAACTGTAGTAAAATTAAAAAAAATAGCTCTTACAGAATTAATTACATTTTGTAATAAAATTTCATAACTAACTTATGGGTTGCGAAAGCCATTGGGAAAACTAATGAAATTCAATAAGTGAAATTTCTAGTTCGAAGTAAGCTAACTTTTTATCAATAATTATATTTTTAGTATAAAATTGTATAATAAATAGAAATATATTTTATGTTTAAGTTAACGTATAAATATGTTTATTCATATGCAGATATAAGAATAATGATATTTATACGTCCACAGGAATGACTTGCGTCATACATATATGCATACACAATGTAATTGTAAATATTGTTTGTAATTTATAGATTTTTTTGTTTACACAAAGTTTATTGCATATTCTAATTTAGTATAAAAAATGTAACTTCCATTGTAGCTTATAAAAATTACCCGTTACAGGTTATTCACGATATCTGTCTCAAATAAATGATCGATGAATGACATTATATTGTCACGGCACAAAATAGGTGGAATGGTAATAAGATAATTCCGTAGAGAGAAATATTTGCGATTTAAATGATCGTGAGTTTCGGCGGCATTTTAAGGAGTTAAATTTTTCATCCATGTAACATTATTAATAAATTTTATTTTTAGGCTTACAAAGTTAATAAAGAACTGAAAAATATATAACTTTATGTGTAGAAATTGTATGAAGAATTAGGTATCAATTATTTTCGACAAGAAAGCAGATCTTTCTGCTCGTTTCAAATATTCGTGACGCTATTTTTCAAGGTGAGTAAAGCATAATTATGGTATATAGTATCCTTCCAACGGCATTCGAAAAATAAATGAAATGAAAACAAAATTCTAGACAGCTATGAATTTATGTGAGAAGAAAAACTTTAAAATGACTCGAGTGAATTTATGTTAAATAGCTTATACACTTGACGATTATTTGTTGAATTATTATATTTTTTTAATAGTATCGATTACTAATGTATTACAGCGATGCATATTAGTTTCAAAATTATTTACATACTTTTTGTCGTAGATGCATAAGTATGCACGAGTAAGCTAAGAAATGTTTTTCTCTTTTATTTAATAAAATAGAAATTTCTTTCAATACGTGTGAATATTATTCAAGCGATATTCAGAAATATATTTGAACGTATTAAAATATTATTTTTACATAATGAACATTTACATAATTACAAACAATTTTTTTAATACATTAATATGTTTGTAATTGAGATTGTAATATGAGTAGATTTGGAGATAAATTAGTTCATGATAAGCATCATAAGCATATTACCAATATAAATTATTATTTTATTACATTATAATAACTATTTTGTTTTTTTTTCCAAGACATTCGTCTATCTCATGCTAGATTTTCCACTATTTTTCTTTTGCACATTTTCATTATTCGATTTTAATAGTATTGCTTTATTTGTTCAATTGGATAGTAAAAAAATAAAATTTCTAATTTAATTCTCAAATGAGCACAATATTTACTAATTTGAAACAATAAACAACGATGATTATATTAATGATATTGAGTTTATGAGAGTCTGCTCAAATATGTTTACTTTTTGTTAACTGGATTTGATCTATTCCGTGTTAGAAATAAACCCGATTTTACCTCTATTCAATCTTTATCATAATTTCTTCATTATCACTGTTTACCTTCAATACGATAATATTTTTGATTTATGATGTTCGAACTATTAGTCGCGAGATTTTTCTATTCATTATAATTTATGATTTATTTTAATACTAAAGTCATTAGTCCAATATGAGAAAAAATCTTGAATTCGATAATCATCGATTGACTTCAATCTCTTCTAAAATCATTATTTTTTTGCAGCACAATCTATACATTAATTATTTAAAAAAAAAAAAAAAAAAAAAAAACTCTAAACTTTATGATTTAATAGAAATTTTTGGACTAATATTACTTTAATTATACAGAAATACTCAGACCCTCGTGTAGGTAATCCATGGTCTATGAAGGCTTTGTCTTCCTGTTTGAATAAATGAATTTTATATAAATTTCTTAAAATGTATGAGATTCACATATTTTAAAAATATTTCAATTTAATGGTCTTAAATTATGATTTGCTTTGACAGATTAAAAACTTGCTTACAGATAATTACTGCTGATTAATGTTCTAATTAATATGAATAACAAACTTTTGGCATGTATCTTATTGAAAATTATAGTTTCTTAAGCATATCATTATTTGTTTTGAATTATGTAATTATATATATTATTTTATTGTAATTTAAACATATAATTATAATATACTTGATAATTAAATAAGTCATATAAAATATGATTTAATTTAAATAATTTAAATACAATATGAAAACCTTAATATTATACATACAAATAAACGTATATGTATGCATGTAATATAATATATATATGTTATATAATGTAATATTATATATATATATATATATATATATATGTTAATATAATATATTAATATTTTTATCAAAAAGCAATATATTATCAAAATATTTAGAAATCTACGTATTTGAATGAAAATGTAAGATACAATATTATGTAGAATTATGTTATCATAAGATTTGTAGTACGTTTTCATAACATTTACTTTACAGATTATTCATTTAAATTAAATTTTAATAAGTTTACTTTGGTTACATTAACGTTAACAAAGAACGAAGTAAATTTTATTTAAAGAGAAAATCGTTTTGCGCAGAAAAATTAATTTAAGAATTATAATTAAATAAGAAATTGAAATACAATAAGTAATAATGAAACACCAAGAAGTTTAAGTAATTTCCATATAAAAATTGTAACGACATGATCTTTGAGATTTATTAAATGCTTAATACACTTCTATGCAAATGAAAAAAAGTATATTATTGGAATTTAATTCAATGTCCTATATAAGAGACTTGTATTCATAAACAGTTACATTAATAAAAGAGTGTTTGCTTATTTTACTTGTATTATTTACGATGTATTTGCTGACTTTAGGGAAGAAAAGGCAGAAAAAGTAGTATGAACCTAAGGAGCAGAAATTTGCGATTACGAGATATTTTATATAAAGTAAGTACTCATACTGTACACAACGACACAATATACGCAATCCTGGGATCTTTCGTGTTTATATTGATTTAAGATTCTCTTTCGTGGAAATAAAAACTAGAACAATATATTTCCTTTTTTGCACATTTCAAATATCTGAATTAGTCACTTGTTTACTACTTGCATTCTAAGCTTTACAAGCGATGTTATATCAATATTTTATCATTTAACATTAGTTTTTCGTTTAATACATTAGTTAATATTAGTTAATAATTAATTTTAATGATTATTTGAGAATCTTAATAATTAGTATTTAATTATAATACTTAATCATAAATTAATATGATAAGATATTTTTATTATACATATATATATATATATATATATATATATATATATATATATATATATATATATAGACGGAGATATTCGTTGATATTCGTCAAAATATTACAACAATCGAGTATTACATGCAATAAATTTTCATAATATTTCACTATTTTTTTTATTGAAGTATCTTTTATATTGAAGTAAATTTTCGGTACAAAAGTTAAAAATTATATACTATATTATTTCAGTGATTTATATTGTTATCATTATTATTAATGAGGTGTTACCGGATTCAAAGTTTACGCATGCTAAAACTATGTAAATATCCATAAATATTTGTTAAAAAGTTAGTATTAGACTTTTTATCATTATCTCTCACTCGCGTAATTATTATGATGAAGTTCTTTTAATACATGAACCAGAAAAAGTCTCTCTTTGTTTTTTAGGCAGCATGGAATACAACTTTCACGAGGTGAAACATCATTCATCTTTTACGATTTGTCGGTTAGTTACCTTGTTTCTATGATATACTGTGCGTTGTAAACATCGTAGAATCGCTAGTGAAATTGTGGTTTCGTTGTATTTTATCTTTTTCTCGACATTAAATTTATAGTACTTCAGTAACTAAGGATTAATGATAGAAGGCGAATAAATTGCAATGCGTTTATTAGTATATTTAGAAAGTATAAATGACCAAGCAAATGTAAATATAAAAACTTTAAAGTGTAAATGATCTTGATATGTCCGGGCGTTTTTAACGTTCAGACAATAACGGAGATTTCGCAGTTTATAAAGATGTTACATTAAATGAATTAGAATATTTACCGTTTAACGTTTCATACATTTTCATGGAAATTACGATTTCTAAGGCCTTTTATATTCAATGGACACGCGATAAGAAATTGAACTTTCGCAAAGTACCAATATAAAGAAACTCATTTAGAAAAGTGAAGAGAGTAGTCGAGGCTATAGGGAAGAATTAAAATAATTAGCTGGGAATCCAGTTGGCGTCGATCGTTATCGAGCAATCGAATTCTCGAAAAGGGAAAACTGTAAAAGGAAAAAAGGGTCGGGATTTATTTGGATTCTTTGGAGTACACGTGATGTCAGGGGTGAAGTTTAGCCCGGGGTCGTCTAACGGCACTCGAGTTCTCGACGACGGTGTGGCAGTGTTGGAGGGGCTGTTGCCAGTTAGGATGGGAGTTAGGCGGGGAAGGCGAGGCTGAATTCGTTGGCATATCAATAAGTTAGGCAGCTCAAGGAAAAAGCGTGGCACTTATTTACCTGTGGGGGTGCGGCACGTGTTCTTACATGGGTTACAACACGACCCACATCCTGTACAGCTTCCTCCTTGACCGGCTGTATAATTAATCAAAGCTCTGGACAGCTTTCGCGTGGGCGTCCTGGCAAACAATCGCACACAAGCGTATTGTTTTACGCGAGCTTTTTCGATCCACGGATTTTACCTTTTGTTTATACGCTTTTGTTCCGCTTACCATGTCGTATATCTTTGTGATGCTCACTCATCCCTATCAGTCTTTAATTACATGTTTTACTCGTTATGAAACAACAAGAACAAAAAAAAAAAGAAAAAAAAAAAAACAAAAACACCTCGCATTTTAACGCGATTTGAATTTCAGTAGTAAATGATACTCAGCTTGTTTCAATGCTTTATTGTTCGAAATTTACTGGTTAAATTTTGAATATTCGAATTTGTGTTATCGCGTGATGATTCCAAAAATTCGAATTTGTTCCTCCTTATGATTGAATAATTTTGCTCTTTTGTTCTTGAATTGTATTCCGCAAATTTCGATTAAAGGGTAAGGCAAATCACATTTCTAATATGGATTATTGATTTATTTACCTTCATTTATTTCTTCTTTAATATGCTTATTCTGATTTCATATTTACTTTGAATTCCGTTTTATGTGAATTTAGGCTGTTTTATGTGAGAATACGATCATTCTTTATCGAATATTAATGCGGAAATGTATCGGAAATATAAATTTACAAAATTAAATAATATTTCATTACAAATCGGAAAATCAAATAAAAGCTCCAGAAGTCGAACGAGATATTCTAGTTTGAATTATACCGATAAATATATTAAGACGATTTTTTTTAAGGAAAATATAATTTTTTATGATAGTATAAGATTTTATTTATGGCGAGGAAAAAATATAAAAATAATAAATATGTAAAGTAAGTCGGATACTTGTTTGAAGATTTGCTCAAGGGATGATATTTATTATAAATCTTAAGCTACTATTTATTATATTACGCTTTAAATGGGAAGATATTTTCGACACTCGCAAAGAAACGCAAAGAATCCGATATTATTTTGTACTATTATTTTTACTATAATTGTACTATTAATTTGTATTATTAATTTTAAGTACAGAGTCATGTGGAAATTTTCTAAATACACAAGTCACCAGTTAAAGAAAATATTTAATAACTCTGTACTTAATCGTACTTGTGTCTTATATTTTTCCAATCAAACATTGTACAACTAATTACTTCACTTTTAAAATAATAGAGCATTATAAAATTACAAGCCCATAATGATAGAAATAATTTTGATTGTTTCCTAAAATTTGTAAAATATACAAGTAGGATTTATCAATGAAAATAATTACAAGCCTTGAGAATTCTCAAAGAGTAATTACAATTTTGTGCACAATGTAATAATGGAAATAATCGTAAAATACTGTGTGTCTGTGTGTGCGCGCGCGCGCGCAAACATTAAAGTTGGATGAAATTCTTTATTTTCGCGAAGCAATTATAATGTACTGAATAGCTATTCAGCCATGTATAAATGAAATCGAGTATCAGCTTTCGTTATTAAATAAAAGCTTTATCCGTGACACACGATTGCTGAAATGACTTTTCAAGAAAGTTTCCGCGAGATAACGCACGCTGGTACAGAAAAGTCTTTAGAAATCGAGGGCGCAGATGAGGGCAACGCCTCGGACGATCCAGTGCTCCTGTGGATTCTGGGTGGGAATTTCCATTGTAAGGATGAAGTTGGTGGAGTGGCCGGTGGTACTAAGGGTTCCGGCGCGCTGAATGGTCTTGTAAACCGGGCACTCGTAGATTCCACTGCTGGCCTTCTTATGATTTACCTCCGGTATGAGAAGAATTGGTGGCATGCCTGTAAAGCACATGGTATGTGTAACGACCATCTTCTTTTTATAGAATTCTGGTGGAGGGACGTACTGGTGTAGAGTTCCTTGGGCAATGATTCCGTGAGCCAAGTACCGTCCCACCTGCAGCCCTCGAGGAAAAGACCGTAAACGGCGCATCCATCGATTGGTCTGCGATGAGGTTTGTCTTTAAGCACCTGTTCGCGAACAAAGGAGTCAGTGTTATATAACAAACGTAGCCATCGATCTTTGCACTCACCTTGAAGCTAAATTCGAGAGAGTCGATAGAGATGCTGTACTTCCTCGCGTAGTTTTGTAAGCTGCCGGTGAGAAAGGCTTGAGGAAAATAAAAACCTGATATCCAGAACGCGGACGGTATACCATTGTCTTGCCAGCTCTGTATGAATTTTATTCTCTCTCTCAAGTCTTCTACCCACGAGCCTGTTGCAGGAGTTTATTTATTAAACAATCGCATTCGCAATCTCACGATAACGAAGCAATGTATAGCTTATCTATCCGTTCGGAGGATATTGAAATGGAAGAAATGCCGGGACTCGGCATCTATGGTCAACAGCTTTGTTTTCTTACCGAGTGGCTTTAACGAAGCGAAAGCCTTATTTTGCCAGTTCTCTGGAACTTTATTGTTGTACATATTTGATGCCATCGCTTCTAATTTATCAGACATCACAACGAGTCCTTTGAGGGCTTTTAATAGATCGCTCAAGCTGCTTGACATTTCAATGAGCAATCCATTGTAGCGCGTTGCCTCCTGTAGCAAAACGGTATTCAAAGACTCTTCGTACGAAATCGGGTATCTGTAAATTAATATCATCATATACACACGCATAATCAAGCTTTCCTTTCAATCAACTAAGAGAAGTTATTTAGCTACATAAATCTTGTTTTCAGATTAAGCCTGTATTTATTTTGAAAGCTACAACAACGTTGATAATAGCGTATTGATATGTAAAGCAAGCATCTTTGCAAATATTAATACTATTTATTTATATATATATATATATATATATATATATATAAAAACGAATATGAAAATTAGAATAATTATTCAACAAAAGTCTATTATGACAAACAAATAAAAATTCATGGAAATTGTGTATTGTAGCTTTCTCGGCATGAAATAAATGTTTCGTATACAATAAAATAATAAAATCAGTTTTCATTTGACAAAAATCATACAGTTTTCATAGTGTACAGATTCATAAATGTTTCCAATAAAAATTTTACCAACTTTTTATTTAAAAAAGAAAATTAATTATAAAATTATACGTAAAATGATAGGTTTTGTAAAAGTTTACCGATTATTATTATCTTTTAACGAACTATTAATATGCAATAATTTTTAATGATTTGAAATATTGATATTTTTCAAAATATTATTAATATTTATGGTAAAAGAAATATTCAGTTATTGCATTTATATTAAGATGACTTAGATATTGATTTTAACAATATTTAAAAGAAAAAATTTTAATTTACGACATTGTATGAACATAATAAATGTTTTATGAAAAATTAATGATCATTTTGAAATCAAATTTTTTTCTTTAAATAATTTGAAATTATAGAAATATTTTTAAATACAATTTTCGAAATAAATAAGCTCGTTCGTATCAAATAATCTCCAAAGTAAATAACGTTGATTTTATTATATTGTATGCAATCTTTTGATGTCTCATTACAATAAGATTTTACTAAGATTACTCATTAATAGTTATTCAAATTGAAATATAAGTGACATATTTAGCAAGATGTTATTTATTAATTTATCATCTTTAAAATGTACGTTGAGTAAACATAATTCAAGCATGTTAGCAGATTTATTTCATTAATAATATTTACTTTGACTTTCATTTTCGGTACTTCTACTTGAAATAAACGCAGTGATGTAAATGAAGGTAAAAGATTATTATCAATCTTTTATATTATAAAGACCATTAAGTAATAATAACCATTAATAACGAGCTTATTTAATAATATATAAGTTCACACACAATACACATGCGCACATATATATATATATATATATATATATATATACATATATGCATATATACATATATATATATATATATATGTATATGTATAGTCTAATAAATAATATATCTAATAGTTATACGAATTTTGACTGAATATTTAAGCGGATATAAAAATAATTTATACTTTTTTTTAATTGCCTCGAGGTTAAAGGGCTCGGGTAGCCCATCGAAAATACTCATTGCCAATTGACCTGTCACTTCCTCGACTTTTGAAACGGAACTTCCAATATCTCGCGGTTGTAAGGTGAGTAAAGTTTTCAGACACGCATACGTTTCGGCTTGCGCGTAACTAATATCCGCATTATTATGTAAACCAAAGAGAATTGGATCGTCGTTTATAGGGAACATTTTGATTAACTCAAGATATTCCTCAAAAGATGTATCTGCTGGTGGCTAATTATTTCAAATTTATTAATTTATTGGTTTTTAATGTTATCACATGAAACATGAAAAATCGAACGAAAAAATTGATAAACTTACTTGACAATAATTCCCGTAAGAGTCAAATTTATAGCCGTCAGTTAGTACATTTTCATTATAAAATTTTTGTAAAATCGTCAAAACGCATCTTCGATCCCAATCATCCGTTATCCGACCGCCATAATTAATGTGCCCGGCCGTGTAAATTAAAACCTTAACATGACATCATATTTATTTAATAATTAAGATATTCTTCATATAGTCTATTTGGTGCAGTAATAAATTTACTTTAAATGGTATTTGGACGTATTCCAGTAGGAACATATGAAGTTGCGACATACAGATAGCAAAGTCTCCATCGGTGAATTCATATGGTATATTAAAGCCCAATGGACCAAATTTTCGTCTTTCCAGTAGGACCGCATGGAATAAACACAAAGAAAATATCAAGGACTTGAAAGTTTGCACTTTTGAATGATCAGATTCCAAGAAATCCATCATCTCGATCACTCGAGTTGAGTAAGTTTTCAATACATTCGCCTATGCAGAAATCAATATTTAACACAGTTTAGCAAATAATTTGCATAATTTATAAGTGCTAGTTTGGTCAATACCTTAACACCTCGCGGCGGCTCAATAGTCATTTTACATCCATTTTGAAGAATGCTGACTGGAAACGAGGGCGAGGGCATTGACGTCAACCACAAACGAAAGTCTCGATGAATACTATTTGGGGGGAGCGTTTCTACCAAAATCTCTAATTTCGGCATCCAACTTGGCGCCAAGTGACAATTCTATCAAACATTATTACATTCACCTGCATTACTAGTTTAATTCAAATTTTCTTTACGTACAATAATTCATTCTGGTCACATATTTTAAGTTTGCTGTGCAATATATTTCTTATAGTTGTCGATAAAATATAAGCCAATAAAAATTGCAATTTATTTTTATGAAATTCTAAATTTGCTTGGAAGTCAATTCTCAGATTCTATTGTATTATAATGCCTATATATATATATATATATATATATATATATATATATATATATATATATATATATAAAGAATATAGAGAAATAGATATAAAGACTATAGAGAAATCGATAGAAATAAAATTATAAATATGAATAAAAAATATAATGACAAGTAATTTTCCGATATTTCTTTTATTTTTGAATTTTTAGTTAATATAAAGCTCAATCTGAAAGTTATTTGAGAAACACGGGAAGAATATTTAAAAAGCAATATTTTATTTTATTTATGGATAATAGTTTCCACGTCTTATCAATTTTTTTTTTGTTAATATATTTAATATTTTTATAATCAATAGTAGTTTAAATTAATTTTATTTTTAAGCACTTAAATAATCAGAAAATTGAACTCATATATTTTATATACACGATATTACATTACTATTATTAAGTTACATATTATTTGAATCTAAATTAAACAATATTATACTTACGAAAAACGTAAAAGCTTTTTATGTATTCAAATTTAAAATCAGCAATATTAACGAATTGTTTATATTTTTAATATTAAATGACAAACTTGTGAAATAAAAGATCATACTATATAATAGTTTTATAAGAGATCCGAGAATTATTATCCGAGCATTTTTAATGGTATATTCATTATTTCATGTATAAAAGAAAATATAATGAAGGAATTATTAAATGTTGCAAGATCTTGTTTCATACTTTTCTTGTGATGCCTAATTTAAAATAAATTTTAAAAACCAGCTAGTCGAATTTACGTAGATTTTAAAATAAAAACTAGATTTTGTGCGCGCATGTGTTTAGTATCGATTACGAGATGAACCATCGAAAAGAGATTTGACGATATGACAGCAAATTATGGAAAATTTCATCCTGCACAAATGGCACGTAGTATTTTTAATTGTTATATAGTTGTATTTGGCTACTTGAATTGTTTAACTAAGAACGACAGATAATAATAAAGATTCTTATCCTCAAACCTTTTTATAATCGCAAGGAAAGCTGTGTATGATACGTCGATTAAAATCACATATACTTTTTATGAATGTTAATAATAAAAAATTGTATATTCTCGTAGGATATGGCCTTATTAAGAGAAAATATACATGGACAAATAAAATTATAGATTAATACAAATTTATAGATAGGAAAAAAATTGAGAATAATGTGTATTTACTTGGAAAAACAGCCAATTACCGGCCACGAGGGATTGTTTAAGCATAATTTCGGCTTTCGGCCCCTGTCCTTGACCCAATGATATGGAAAATAATTTTCGGGACATTTTCAATTTTTCTGCAAATTTATAAAGCTCCGAGGCTGGATCTGTTCCAGTTGAAAGCACAAAGATAAGTGGAGTCAAGGGACTAGATTCATCGTATATTGCATCGAGTCCCGATGTGTGTGGCTCAATAAACCGACTTCCAAGGAATTTTATAATATAAGATTGCATCACATTTGTAAGCTTATCTGGTCGAAGACACTTTATAATTATCATCTTTTGAAAGTCATTCAATTTACTATGCCATGGCTTCGGATTCGGCATACTGAAAAAAGACTCATTTTTATAATATTCAATATATTAATATTTATAATCATTAAACGCTACATAAGTTGTTGAATAATGTAATAATATTACAGGAAATTGATTACTTGTTGTACAAATGAGATTGCGTTTGAAATAAGTTATGTTGTTGGTTTAAGATATTAAAATATTATTGAAGAAAATTAAAAATAAACAAATAATATTAAACTTAGTTTCAATATACTAGTATATATATATATATTCAATTTTTTAAATGTGTTACAGTATGATATTATAATACGATAATTGTTAACTTATACTTTAAATGAAATGTAATTTTATAAAATTCAAAAACATTGAATGCATACGTGTATTATTCTATTAATTACAAATATATTTCAAGTCTTTTGAAATTTCATAAGAAACCACTTCATTACAGTATAATTGTGTTAGCCACATTTCTATAACTATTGAATAATATAATAATTTATATGTTTATATAATTATAAACAAGATGCTTTAACATAATTTAACAATTTAATATATATATATATATATATATATATATAAATATATATTTATAAATATCTGTGTATATATTCTATTATTTTTAAACTAATGTTAACATTATTTTTTTATGTTTATTCTTCTTGAATAGTATATTTTTAATTTATAATTTTACATACACTAAATAATACTTTTTATATTTTTATTTTATTTTTAATTTTGTATATATTGATCATTGCATATAATTATAATTAATAATATTAATTAAATTATCAGATTTTGTCTTCTTCTTTTTATGAAATACGATATCTTTTAAATACATTTTGTTTTAGCACAAATATTTCCATTACATTATTATAAATCATTATAATTATTCGAATTACTGAATTTTATTCGAAAACATAGTTTTATGGTATTGTAAAAATTATCAATACTAATTTATAAAATTTTGATAATGAAAGTATGCATAGTTAAGTTAAATTGTTAATAATTTGCAAATAAATATTAAAATGTATCTTTTAAAAATCTAATTTTGTCGGGTTTGCTATTTGTTTTTCCTAACTTTAAATAAAAATTTTTCTCTGCAATTAAAAAAAAAAAAAAAAAAAAAAAAAACTTCTTTTCTTCGAGTATGTAAATTCATCTGCCTTAACTAAAGTAATTTATAAAGTATTCTTTTCATTATAAATTAACTCTTTAAAATAATTCCTTATAAAGTAACGGCTTTGTGAATTAATCCGTTAATAGGCATATAACAATTATTTTCTCCTGTTTCTTGTTAAATAAAAATATTGCTTTATTTCAGACTAACTGAATACTATTTATGTATTATAGTTATTAGACAATTTTCATTAATAATAATAACGATGCCATGAAATGTCGTAGTTTCTCTTCGAGACAACTTTTCCAATATTTTTGGACGACTAGCTTGTCATTCTGTCACGTTTCCCTTTGATGAAGAAGTTTTCCGTACCTAAATATACATAGCTCATGCTCTCTAGTCTTAATTGTTTAGTTGTAAATAAAATTATGCATCTAATTCTAATGAGCTGCAATCTAATTCTAATAAATTCGAATTACCGTATATGTATCCTTGTATTTGCAGTTGATACATCATTTACCATTATCAAAGATCATATTATAAAATTTATAAATACAAAAGGTATCCAGATTATTGAGTGATACGAGTCTTTTTTTAATATAAATCATAATGCAAATGCAAGTTAAAACTAAATCGAAGAAATAAATTTTAAAGTTTTCAGGTGGTGGAAGTGAGGGTGGAAGATGTAAGAATCAAGTGCAAGAGCTCTTGATGCTTCCGTTTAAGAATACAAATAAGAATGAAACAAAAAGAATTTGTAGCTAATAAATCGAACTGTTAAATTGAGTTTGGTCAAAGTGACTCTAGCGTTCAAGAATCGATCGATCGACCTTTTAAATTCGTAATTTAGCTACGCGTAATAACCGTATCAATATACCAATTCACGGCCTTGTGACGCGTTATTCAAGTATTCCATTGCACTTCCTTTTCATCTCGAGATATTTTTTACTACAAATAAGCATAAGGACATAAGGATATAGTGCAGTATAGTGCAGAGCCAGCTAGAATGCGTACATTTCTTAAATATGTGGTCATTCTTGTGCGCACAATTAAAATTAAATGAATTTAAAATTAAATTTGAAACATTCGTATTACTCTCGTCGTCGCCAAAGAATATTCATTTGATTTAGCATCGCATTCTAATAATTAGATATGTACAAGGCTAATTTATAGTTACTGGGAAACCGACTCAAAGCTCAAAATGATCTTCTCTCAACGAATTAGCATACAACAATAACTTAATAAAGTAACCACATTTAAAGATAACGACTTACGGATTTTGCTATTTCAGTTCTAAGCCAAATTTAATGATTCTAGTCTTTTACACGATTATGACGTATTGTGTATAAAAGCACAAATAAGTATAGTCTGGGTTCGTGTAAACGAATTTATCGAAAACTGTTGAAACATAAAAAGAGTTGAAAGTTCGAATTTTATATTAATTATGGAAGTGCTCATTAAATTTGCGATTACAGGCAATTGTCTCCCCATGAACTTATCAGTAAAGCTCTCAATTTTCAAATACATCGTTCTTATATACTTGTGACATAGGAGATACGGTTTGAAGCTTATTGATCAAGCAGTGAGTAAATCAAATCAGCCCTGTTCGTCCAAGATCGGGCTAAATTGTATTATAAGATTCGTTCCAAATAAAGAAAACGGAACATCTCGTATTCAAGAGTATCGATCCATTTACTATTCATATTGGAAATATTGGCGAAGTAGTTGAGCATTTTGTTGATCTTCTGGCTGTTTATCGTTACTTTAGGATAATCTGTCCACTTTAGAAGCGCATAGAATAACGATTATTGGCTTAGTAATCTAAATGATATTTTCCAGCAATGAACATTTATGATAATCTACTAGTGAATATTGACTGAACATTGAGATACTAGAAGATATATATATATATATATATATATATATATATATAAGATAAGTATCAGGCTGATGGAAGAAAATGAAAAAGATTGATAAAAAAACAAAACAAAAAAAAAACAAAAACAAAAACAAAAAAGAAGAAAAAAAAAAAAGAAAACAACGACAAGACGTAACAAATTAAAAACGACAGAAGACGATCGTTTCGTTATAAATTGTAGTTTCAACATTATTAAATTTGGCTTATCCAACACTTATATTTGCCTCTTGTGACCATAGTGCGTAGTGCGTACGTACAATTTAGCTCCCTAACTTCGCACTGACTGACGTTAGTATCCGTCGCTGTATCTCGTCGATTAGGTATGAGCCACAATAATTAAGCACGACATATCAACAAGTAAATCTCATTGCAAGTATTTTGATAGATCGTTTCCTTCTTACGTACTTTAGTCCAACTGTCATTAAGACGAATTCTTTTAACTGAACCAACTTTTTAGTAGCTTTCAGCCAAATTAGACCGAATTAGATACATTTTAGTTCTTTTAATAGAATGCATTTAGAAATCTATAAATATCACTTGGCAGTCTTCCCATTTTTTACGTAGTAACTTTGACGCGAGTGTTTATTGCTCGTCAACATACATTGAAGTGGCACACAAATCGAGAATAAATAAATTTGGAATGTAAAATATTAATTTGTCAGGGTGAGCGGTTGATAACAATGGATAATATTTGCTTTGTAAATAAATCGGTACGAAAAGGTCAGATAGAACTCTATGCCTAGAAAAGATTCTTCTCCGAGTGTTGCGACATACTTGTAACACTTTAAAATTATATCTTAAATTGATTAGTATGTAAGTATTTTGCTTAAATATTTTATACCTTTCTGGCTGATAACTGTCAAAGATTTCCTTAAATTCTGGTAGTAGAGACTCGAATGATGAAACAAAACCTTCAAAGGTGGGCAAGACTTCGAGAGATTGTATCTCGATCCAACTACGCTGTGTTAACCAACTGACTGGATTTGGTTTTTCCTAAAATAAAAAACAATAGTACGTTATAATCTGTGTATTTGTGAAATTATTGTTCCTTGGTAAAAGGTGAGACTAAATTTTTTTATAAAAGATGAATTTATGAATTTACAAAGTTGGTTATTGTGCATTGGGCTTTGTTATGCAATGTTTCTACATATTTTCAATCGTTGAAAGATAATTTATTTCGAAAGTGGATTCATTAAAGATTTTCGGTAAAAAAAAAAAAAAAATGAAGAAGTGTTTTTGGAAATTTCGTGGCAGCTAATCTGGGAATTTAAATTTCGTATATATTGCAAAATTTAATAGCTACCGTCGGTGGAATTGCTCCAGAGAGAAAAAATCTCCATTCAGCGTAATCAATCAAATTATCCATCATTTGAATTCTTATACACAATAGAAATGCAAAATGTAATTTGTGCTTTTCAAAAAGACTTCGACATACATTTGTATAAAGCGCGAATGTGAAGTATTCATTGATAATGTTGGCACGTACATCGACGTCATCTGAAAATGATATTATTTTCCTCATCTTTATTTCACAATTACGTTGAAATATGCTTTGTTAAATTTATATTTAAGCCACTTAACCATTCTTTTCCGCATTTATCATGCTATTAATAAATATACGAATGAACCATTCGAGAGAGTATTGATACATTGTATCAATCAGTTGCAAGTCCAATAAGCAAAAAAACAGAATTTGCGCGCGATTCGCTACTGGAATGTACAAAGATCTCGCTGCATCGATATCCTCTTGCGTCGTCTCGGCCGCTGCTACTTTTAACTAAAAAGAACATTTAAATTCATTACATCATTGGAATTTTTTATTTTTCATTTATTGAATATCACATAGAATATTAAACAATTCCTTTGTTTATTATATACTACAAATTTTACTGAGAAATGTTTGTAATATTATTTGTAAGCTAATTTTTATAAAAAATATTATATTTATTTAAACAGAACGTACGGTTTAAACAGAATAGATGTACGGTCAGTTTAATATAAATAATTTCTATGAAAAATATGCTGCTCAGGGTGTTTGCTTTGCATAGGTAGCTAAATAATTATTAAAAACAACTGGATGCTTTAGAAAATTTATTGCAAAGTTTGTCGAAACTTTACTTGTGATTATATATTAATATAATCAATATACAACCAGTAGTGAAATTAATTGATTTGGATTAAATTTTTCAATAATGACAATCATAAGGCAAAACAGAAATTACCTTTTTCAATCTTTATTTATACATAAAAATTTCAAAAATAGTTATATATGGTATATGTAAAAACATATAATTGTGAATATGAATTAATTTTAAAAATATATTTATTATGATCATTAAAAATGCTCGCTCATTAAAAAATTATTTAAACTAAATACTAATATGAATACTGGCTTATTTATTATAATACATTATAATTCGTACAGTTTACGAGTTTTTTTTAGGACTTTCTAATTATGTAAGAATATAATCGTGATTCGTTATATATATATATATATATATGATTGTAAAATATGTTTATCAAATAGTTACTATTTTTATTTTTAATAATGCACTTAAGAATGCACATACGCAAGCTGTATATGGTGATGGAATTACGCAATTTACATTTTTTTATAATTTTATAAAAATGCTGCTTTCTGAAGAAATTTCAAGATTTTTATATATATATATATATATATATATATATATATATATATAGTAAAAAATAGATTATTAAACTGAAAAATGATTATTGAGCTTAGAAATTAAAACAATAGCAAATATTTCCTATAATGTATCATTGATTTAATTAAAAAAATTCATTTCTTCTTATGTTATATAATAACGAACGAAAAAGTAATCGACTCTTCTGAATATAAATGGCATCGTTAATTTCAATTAAATGTGTATAAATAATGAAGTAGAAAGAAGCATTTTCGATCAGCCCCTTGCATTATGAATTAGGAATAATTTTATTGAAAATATTGACAATAATTCGTAAATTTTGAGTACCAATGTTTGTAATGTATTATTTATTTTTAAATCATTATTTTTAAACGTCGAAGAAATTTCCATCACATTAAAAATTCGAATTCAATGTTATAAACATTTATTACTTGTAGAAAAGTCTGTTGTCTCAATTTTTATTTAAGTGACACCTTTTGATGGACTCTCTTCTTGACACTCTAAAGGCGAGGTTACGACTTCACCTCTAGTATAATTTTTATTCAAAAACTCGAGAACAAAGTAACGTACCTTCACAGAATACGCGTGCTTAACATGTTCTCAGAATGGGATCACAAAATAGATCATATAGATGTCTCACATACTTAGAAAAGTTTCAAATGACTATTACTAACGGACTTATAATACAAAATGATAACATACTTATGATTGTGTAATTAACTAAATAAATTAAATAACCACGAAGTCTATTGTTCGATTTAAAATTATTGTATTTCATTCAGGTGGCTTATTTGTATTATAAGGAAATCAATATTGATTTATTGTTTAATATAAAAAGTTTAATATCAAATAGTAAATTATATATATAGAAAAAAATGTTAGCCTAGTTAATTAAACTAAATCAGTTAATGTTTTTAATTATGATATGTGATAAAAATTTCCGATATAACGAAATACATATCATATTTTCATTTTTATTATAAACATTATATATACCTTTAGCAATAATTAATGCTAAAAAATTATCACTAAGTCTTTTAAATCCTATAATACATAAAGTTCTAAAATAACTTCATTAATAATTAAATGTGTAGAGCATTACAATTTTTCTTTTTTTTTTTTTTTTTTTTTTTTAATCAAACATATGCAATAATACTAAAAGTGAAATGTAGTCAACAAACTTATAATTTTTAACGGAAAATGCTATCACAGCAGGTTGAACTGAACGCTTCAAAAAATCGTTCCTTTTAACCCCAATATACAGTGCATATAAATTTTCCCTTATCTCGAGGGTTGCGTTTTTTATTGTTCAGTTTTACAACAAGATATTCGCTTTGAGTATTCCACTATATCCCAGTAGTCGTGATTGCGTCGCTTTTCCAAATATTCGCGTTGTGCGTTAGCTTCCACGTGTCATTGTAAAGATAAGTTGAATAGATACTCGTTCGCTTAGTTGTACAAAGTGCAAAACAATGTCTCGACAATTTTAACTGTTTAGGTCACTCCTTCCCTCCCGCCTTTCTCTTTTTGGCGATACATATATATACATATGTGTGTGCGCGCGCGCGTGTGCCCCCCCCCCTCCCCCCGTCTCTCTCTCTCTCTCTCTCTCTCTCTCTCCCACACTTTCACTTTTTTCCATTTTCTTTGTTCCTCGCTTTTAGCTGTTAAAGGGGAAAACAAAATGAGAAATCCTCACGAACATAACATAAATTTTTGCAAATAAATTTAAATCTAAATTTTGAACTCTACACAACTGAATAAATTTTGAACATTTTAGCAGTTTTATTTAATTAAAAAATTCGTTTTATTACTGATGTTTATACAGAGTTGTAAATCTACATCTGCATATATCATCTTATGTATTTATCTCATTAGTTTATACAAATATGACTTACTTTTTAATACAAGAATCAATATTTCTCAATATATTATATGAATTTCTAAAAAATACTGTAACAACATAATGTTAATAATTAGTTAATTTTTGCATTTTTCTATAATTATTAGCCTAAATGGATGTAAAAAATTTATCTTAACTAGAAGCTAAAACAGTAACGATATAGAGTGTATTTTTTAATTATATTTAAGAAACACATTTATTTGAATATTTATTTGAATTTATTTGAATTTATTTAAATATCGATCATTACCGAAAATTTAATTAAATTAATAATATGTTAACATGTAAATATAATTATCATAATAGTTGCTAGATAATTAATTTTTTGAGTGAGATAGTTATAAGTTTCTAATGATTATCTAATGAGATAGTCATTTCAAAAATTTAAATTGTGCGATAGTTGAATTGCAATAAGCTGTAAGATATTTAAAAAAATTATGAAATTATTTTAAACTATAACTAAAGATATGCCACTTTATGATATTATTTTAAGTTGTTACTGAAATATTATCTAAAGCATTTGAGTGTAATGCAAAGAAGATTAGCATAATAATTTATAAATTAAAATATCAAAGCATTGATAATTGTATAAACTATAACAATATAATTTATATTCTGATTATAAATTATGTAATGATAAATACTCTATGGATAATTACTACAGTTAATGTGCTCATAATTATTAAAATGAATATAATTAACATGGCAACAATGTAAATTAAAAATTGATAAATAAATTGGATATATTTTTATTGCTAAAAAATTGAAAAAAAAGTTTATTATAAAAATTGTGAATACTTAGATTAAATTGATTTATTTCATTTACGGATTTAATGTTTTTATGAAATAATATTATTTTCAAAATTCTTCAATATATATGTTTATATATGTTTTGATAGTTCAAATAAAATTTGCTCTATGATAATGAATAAAGAATAATTCAATTGAAGCTTTTGGGCAATCTTAAATGAAAATCTGTATGATTATCTATTTCTATTTAGATAATTTTAAATTCTCTTAAATATATAGCTAATTTATATGCATCATTCTAAATTCTTTATTAATTAAAATTCGGAAAGTAATTGGACTAATATGTATAAGTTTAATGCAATTACTCCAAGAAAGAAATGATGATAAGTAGTATAATGTTGATTTATATAAATACGGCACTCAAAAATTTTCAAATTCCAGTTAACTAAGAATATTAATTGTTAAAATATGCAAAATTTTAATAATTATAAAGAGCATAATATGGAGCTACTAAAGCATTAGTTTTATATTGGCAAAGTTACTAGAGATTTATTCATGAAATTTAGAATTTATATTTATTTTTAACAAATTACTTATTATAAATATTTCAAGAATGCTTTTTCTGAATGTGTTTAAAATATTTAGTATTGTAAATATCATAAGTATTTCTGTTGTAATAAAGACTGGAATACTAATTGATTTACATGAGCAAGAGCATCGTAATTAAAAGTTGTTTACTCTTTTGTGAATTTAGTATATAAACAGTACGTTCACGAACTAAAGCTAATAATAACATAACTTTAACTCGTCTATCAAAGACTCAGACATTTATGTATGAGTCAGCATGAGTATGTTAACACACTCTCAATTCATTATTTTAATAATTTATAAGAAAATTGTAAATTCCAATGTACTTTTATACATGCTTAAAGTTGTATTATAATATACTATAATTTCTCAAATGAAATTTAATCAATTATGAAAGTTCATTGACACGCACTATATTAGGCAGATATTTCTCACTTATATTTACGTAAATATTTGAATGTATGTGCAATTATTTATAAGATTAAGAAAATATATTTAAGGTATGGAATATTATAATACAGAAAGAAATACAAAGTTTTGTTGCTTGGATGTTTGTTCGTTTCGATGTTGACAATCGTAGGATGTAGTAGCTGCCGATAAAAGATTATATTTGTAACTTTTCCTCGGAAAAATCAAAAGGGGGAAAAAGACATACGCGCGACATAACAGAATGAATATCTCGGAATAGTATGAGAAATTGAGTCCGGGCATTTTATTGTTAATTGAGCTTTCTGTAATACTTTCAATTCTATAATACGCAGATCCCTTCATTTATTATTGCTTATATTAATTTACTTGTTTCTCTAATAATTCTAGTATTTATATTTAATATTACGAAATTAAATTAAAGAGATTAATGCGCAAATAGCATAATATTTCATTGCATTTACTCCCATAATAATTAACTTTTAAATCGATCTGAAACTTCTCAAATCCATCGGTAAAAAGTGTAATTATCAATGTTAATCAAATTCTTTCAATTGTTTTTACTTTAATCTCCCCTTAAGCGCACGAAAATCATAAAACATTGATAAAATTGCTTTAAAATTGTTTGGTGGTTATGAATAAACCAGCCGACCGGTATATCACTTTCAATCACCCTAATTTGCAAAATGGTGTCCGAGCAGAATTTGTTTTTCTTGTTATTGATTTATATTTTTCGACCCCAGTTTGGCGAGGCCACTGGGACCTTTGGGCTTGTAAATCAGATAAATTAAAAACATAGGATAGCCAAGTGAATCGCTCGGTATTTCATTTAAATACTATTCGCTATCTGAAAGTGGCCGAGTAATCATGGGATCGACGGTGCTAACACACGGCATTTCCTGTGGCGGCTGCTCCCTGCGGCTGTTCTCCTCCTGAAAAGAGCAGATGTCGGCTAAAGATGCTTCCTTTGCACGCCCTGACAAAAGCAGTTCAGCCAGCTTGACAAGAACGGATCACGTTGGTAGTGTGCCGTGCGATAAGAAAGCTGAGCAACACTGATATCCTTTGTAGGCGGAGCGGAAGTTGAGTATCGACAGTACTGGCAGTCCTTTACTCTAACTAAGTCTCGGAGAAAAGTAACATTTGTGTTTTTAACGATGATTAGGCTTTAACGATGATAAACAGTTGGTGATAACGCGAATGATTCGAGTTTTTCTAATTAATTTTTTAATTAATTTTTTCTCAATTTTCTTACACTATTCTGTCCGTTTGATTTTTTTTTTTACGCATTACCCTCGGGTCTAAGATTATCGATTATCTTTCGTATATAATAATTTTGATAGTTACTAACTAATAGTAAATCTATGATGACATCCATATATCATTATTCAATCATACTCATCTTTACCGAATATTTTTTTACTGCTGCATCTAAATTAATTTAAAGGCTAATTAATATACAAAATAAAAATTATAACTTTTAAAACGATATAATTTATGTATAATTTTGCAATAGTTATCCACAATGTAAAATAAAAAATGAAAATGGGTTTTCGATATTTTTTTAAATATTCCGTTTATATTTACAATATCCCGACTATTTATATTAATATATAGATATAATTGAATATTTCAGGCTGTAAATTAATCAATATATTTATATTTTAATATCGAAAAGTGTCAATATTTTATTATTTTTATAGAAATTATTGTTCTTAATAGAATTTAATTAACGAACGATATAAGCTTTATTGAAAAATTTTGCCTATATATTTTGATATTAATGTTATGTATGTAGTGCAAATTAATTAGGTTGTCCATTAAAATCTAGTATATTTGCTGTAATATTTAGACTTTTATAATCGTGCTTTTCGTAATATCATATACGTAGATAATTGTCTTTTCATTATACGTGGTCAAATTAAAAATTTCAATCATCTAATGTTTCATTTTTAGTTTCTAAGTTTTCATTCAATTATGCCATTTGAATATTCGTTTAAATGGATAATTAATAATAATTTATTGCTCATAATTACAAGAAGCTTGTGCTTCATTAGGTCACAATATTGATATTGCATTGGTTAAAAATTATTTCTTACACAAGAGTAATATAAGGAGATTGACTCATAGCGCTATAAACTGCTATAAATTGAGGCCAAAATAATTTTCATCGAGCTTCGTTGTCCCTTTATAATAATCAAAGCTCAAGCTTTAATACATTACGATTATAAAATCGAATGACTAACTGTAGGGTTTGGACACTAGTATTGAAGCTACATGCATATTTTTTCGTTATCTTCGACGGCACGAGAGGAGGTGCGTATCGATCGTTCAACGCTTTAACGTTGAACACGGGGAGTAGGGTGCGAGAGTACAATGATCCTTTTAAATGAAGCCCTCGCCCGGGGCTGGGACAACGTACCTTGATTTCCTCGCTCTTGACCTTGGAGGCTTCGAGGGTGAGGATAAGGTCGATGTCATCAACGGGCGAGCCCTCGGACAAGGAGAGCCGGTAAAGAATGCGATCCTCGATTTCTTTGAGCTCGTGTTTCATCTGGGCGTTAGACACTATGAGAGCACTCCGGATTTCTTCGAGTTCCGGTCTCTCCTGCATCACCACCAGCGAGAGCATCTGATCCGCTAATCCGCTGGAAGTGAATAACGATTTTACGATGTTACTTATTTAGCCGGGGCTTGTCGTCGGTCGTGACCGTTTACCTGGCAGTTAACGTGAAGTTGACCAGGAGCACTTTGACGGACACTTCCGGCGTATAATGGGGATTTGGAAGCTTCGTTGTTAGATAAAGTCGAAAGTCGAAATTGTATGGGACGACGTTGTCGCCAATCTTAATGCTCATGACACCCGCTTGTCAGAAGAGCGAGCGCATAAGGATCGTGTCGAGCGCCGCCTCGAGTTCAAGGCCGACGTTTTCTATCAGACAAGTACGTCCAAATCTGACGCAGCTCTCGATGACCCTCAAAAGATCTTTATCGGTCATTCGTACCGTAGACACGCCGCCCAATTTTCCCTGAATCAATGAAAGTTTGTTGGAGACGCATTATTCTTTCTTTTCTTAGCGCTGTGAATCATTGGCCGGTAGACTTAAGCGTAATCGGCTTATTTAGACCTTCAGACTTGTAATTCAACTCACAAGACTTTTCAAAAAAAATCAACGAAAATTCACTTTACGTTCATTTTGAAGTTTCGAATAGCACGACAGTAATCATTAAAATTTATAAACAGCTAATTCTTCTATTGTAAAGATAAATTTAGTTGTTACGAAATTTTGCTTTGTACGAATGAATAATGAAAGTCTTTCTATGAATATGTTAACAACAAATGCATTTTATATTTACAATTATAACTCTCGATTCAAATTAGAGTTCGGTATGTATAAAATTTATTATAAAATAAAGTTATAATTTCAATTTAAATTTATTTCTCACAAGTTTTATGATGTAAGTGTAGAGATGAACAGTACAAAGAGCACAAAGTATTAGTTTTAAATTTGTACACAAATTAGTCGGCATATTTTATTTGTCATCGTATTGAAGCTAATATAAGAAAATTTATTCTTACAGAATAATAAAGACTATTCTTCGTTATAATTCTTTATCTAATAACGAATTCAACTACTATTTTGCATCTATAATGTGCGAATAAAATCAATCTTTAATGCTCGTATAAAAAGAAATATGCATTAAATATTCGTATGTAACATATAATAAAATAGTAAGCGAACAAAATGAATTTTTAATAGATTTTCGATAAAATAGCTAAAATAGCTAAAAAAGAAAGGCTAAGTGAGTGCTATTGACATTCTAATAATTCCATTTATACATATACTCCAGCGTTATTTTTTAAAGTTTAAAAACTAATTTATTAAATACATGAACATTTTCATTATAGAATAGTTGAAATATTTTAAATGATTAAATTCTCTAATAAATTTAACTCGTTAAAATAGGATTATCATTTGAATTATGTAGATTTATTGAATCTCTTGAAATATTTTAAGTGAATTAAAAATCAATAATATCAAAAAAATAAAAAATAAAAAATAAATAAATAAATAAATAAATAATAAAAAAAAAATAATAATAACAGTAAATATTATAATAATAGTAATTTATCATCATCATTCAATAACAATATTGTTTTTTTTTGTTATAATAAAATATGCTTTATAAAAAAATTTTCAATGTTCTTTAATATCGTAGATAAATTTAGCACCTTTTTTACTTTAAAAATTAAAATTGAAAAATTTTATGTTAAAGCAAATTTTATATAAGAAGGAAATTAAGTATTAAAATTAAAGTGAAAGGATTAAAAGGATTAGAAAATTATATTTTTTTCATTATACATTAAAATTACTTATTTGTATAATATATTTTCTCAGACACTTGAGTATTGATTGTGTTTGAATTTTAAAAATATGCAATATTTATTTTAAATTATAATGAAATTTATATACAACTTTGGGCTTGGAAAAGGTAATGTTATTGGTTATTTATAATTTGTCCCAATTATCTATTAACATCTATCATAAAATCTGATTTTATTTTTATTATAAAATAATGTGATTAAAAAGAAAACATACTTATAACATTATTTTCATAGGTAAATTGAAATGGGAGAGTAAATTTGAAATATTTAAAAATTAAAAATAATATATCTACGCCCTTTCATACTATCAACTTGAGATTGTCAATTTAAGAAGTTTTAAATATAACTATCAACTTAAAAATTTAATAAATACCAGCTCTACAGAAAATAAAAAAAAAAACATGTATCACATCTGCTCTTACATTTATTTCCAAACTTATTTTGATTTTCTAACGTTGGTGAGTGTTTTTATTTAATGCGGCAAAGCTTGATGTAGTAACTCGTTTTAGCTCATTAGGTTTTAGACGGTCGAGACTTAACGTCAAAATTTTCCATTATCTTCAAAAGGATAGAGCGTCTATCATTAACACAAGTGACAGTAACATGCACATCTACTTTGAAAACGAATGAAGCAGCAGCAAATTTTTTCTACAAATTTTGTATATAAATATATATGAAAATGTTTGTAATGCCCATGTAATGTTCAGTAACTCTATTGATTTGTCGAGTAACTATGATCTGTATTAATTGATAAATTTTAGCAGATCTGTAGCAATTCATTGTTGCAAATTGTTCATGATATTCTTGTTTATTTATGTTGATCTTGTTTATCCTTAAGCCTTTAACATTTGTATCATTTGTTCTGTTCTTCATTATTTTAAAATAATGCTGATGCTTATACTACACGGACCATACACAATATATAGTTTAAATTATATTTGGCATGTTAGACAAAATTACCATTCTTAATATTTAATTACTATTCTTAAGTATGAATAGTCTGTTATAGAATTATATTAGTACGATGTGAACTGATCGATCTCTTGACAGATTAATTTTTCTCCGCTCCAATACTTTTTCATTGCAAAGCTTTTGACCAGAAAGTGTTTTCTTGATATCTGTCAGACAAGTTTTTATCTTTTTCTGAATATTATTGATACATTATGTTTTCATCGTTAAAAGTTCGTCTCCACCAGGCATGGTTTTTCGCTGAATACGAACACTTCGTAGTCTCTATCATTAATGTAGCAATTATATTTGGCTTGATGTTTCATAAATATCATCCACCTCTATTTTTCTTTTACTATCTTTATCTCTTGACATGTTTTCTATACCATTTTTATTAATGCCTAACATTCTATGATTTTCATTTCTATAAATTCATAGAAACTTTTAGTCGGCACGTCTATCATTTTTTTTTTTTTAATATTTTTTTTTTATCTCTTTTCAATTATACTACAGAAACCTTGAAGAGCTAACATTTTTTTATAAGTCATTAATGGAAATGTCAAGTACAAAACTATTCGATGATGTTTCTGTAACTTATTTCGATATTTTTTCTGAAAGATGACGATTAAGAATAGTATAAGTAATATATACACTCGTCGTGATAAATTTATGATTTAACTAAATGTGCTTAGGCTAATGTGTCCGTATTATGTGCACTAAAGGAAAAATTAATTTATTTTCTAATAATATTGAAAGTACTTGATGATCTGTGGTAATGGAGCCTTCAAATTTTCTTAAATCTAATGTTTTTAACGTCTCTTTTATTAATGAATTCTTATGATATTCTATCATTCATTTGTTCTAATCTACCTCGTATAAATTATTATACTTATAAATAATAAGTATTTGCAAAATATCTATCTTCAAGTATTCAGCTGTCGTGGATGCATTTTGGTATTCACGATATACAAATAATGTTTGATAACTATCTTACACTTTACAATATCATGCAAATTTTAAATTCGCAATAAAATAATTTTTTCATGAACAACACCAGTCTTTCTTTAATTGAATATATATTTCATTCCATATATATATGCAGTTTTCGTAAAAGATTGAAAAAATTTTTAAATGAAATTGATTATTTGCTTAATGTTTAGTTTAAAACTTTTTACATGAATAATTGAAATCAATTTATTATACAAAAACTTGAATATTTCATGTCACTTTTATTTATATAATATTTATTAATTTCGAAAATTAAAAGTAAGTTAGTAATTACTTAATAATGTTTAATAGAAATTTTAGGTCAGTATTAATTTAATTTTAATGGTAATAGAAACTGTGAACATGACAACATTTAATTATGCACAATAAAAATGTTGACGATTGCAAGTTTGAAGATAAAAAGTGCACGAATAATTATTTCAAATTAAAGTAAATATTAGTATTTCATGAATTCGTGAAATACAAATGTATAACTTTCAAGTTGACACATATCAACATACCACATTTCGGATCCATCGATTGGCTTGGCCTTGCGGATCGATAAATAGTGGCCAACGCTTTGAATTCGTAATCAAAACGGCATTTTCAACGGATAACGAGTCCCGGGGTAGGCCATGTATTTGCCATTTTCTGATTTGAACAGCATCGCCAAGAACTGATGTTGGATTGCAACCGGGTGTATGTGGAACGCCTTTTCCTAATACTTCATACCAGGAGGCCAATAGTTTTTTGCGATACGTATCAATGAAAGGTGTCAAGTAAGCTATGGCTCCTGAAAATCATTTGCTTCGTTTATATCGTAACGTACAAAATATTGGCAAATGTTATAAATTAATGAGGATATTTTTAAGCTAAGACCAGGTGGTTGTGATTTAAATTTATAGCGACATCAAGCGAACTTTAAATTATAGAAATGCTAACGATCTCTGTACTTTCATAATATAATATCATTCGCATTTTAAATTCAATGATTGTTGGTTATATGTCTGAAATTGTAGTGAACTAAATTATAGTTTTAGTATTCTTTTTATTTAATTTTCCCTTTTGTTCCGAATGATTGAGTTTTGTATATTTAAGCATCTTTTTAATTAAATAAATGTAAAGTTACACATGTAAACATCAATATACATATGTATGTATATACATGTATGTACGCACGCACACTGACGTTTCATAAAACATAATTAAAAACTTTTAGCTGGTTTTATTTTACTTTTTTCATATATTTCCAGTTCATAAGTGTAAGAAGTTGAATGATATATAGTTAATACTTAAATTTGTTTTAAACATTAATTTAGACATATGTTACAAATAGCTTAATAATTATTGATATTTATAAATCTTTTAATTCTGTCAAATATTCAATAAACACATAATCTTTTCTGCTTTTTATAAGAAACGAATTTAAAATAAAGATACTTATAATATCTAATTTATAAAACTGTCTGCTGCTAGCTAATTAGTCAGAAAAATATTAGTAAATATAAAAAATTAACTTCTTCACTTAATTAATTTACTAATAAATCGTTGAGTTGTTTTTAATTAACAGAATTAAAAAAAACTTGTATAATAAAATAATTAATTTCATCTATATAATTATAATTTTATATCGTAATACATCGTTTTTTAGTGTTCTGGTCAATTTAACATTTTTGTTTAAATAAATTATGCCATTACAAATCTTTATAATACTATTATACCGTTAGAGGTGATGTAAAGTCGATAAAACATCAATTGGAACATCCAATTTTTCGTACTTCCGTAGAATGAAAATCAATTAGCTAAATCATAGACAATTTAGCTTTGAATATTTATAATTCATCAATAAACAAGATTAATAAATAAACAAGTGAAGCCTATATGATCTAAATTGATTAATATAATGTAATTACATTATATCAATATAATTAATTAATTAATACAATAAATTGACTTTTAATATATTCCAATTGTAATATAATAAATATATTTTCAATATAATGCTTTGAAGTTAAAAAAAAAATGAATATTAATTATTAATAGTTGTAATTGTAGTTAATGAATTAAAAATTTGTTAGAAAACTTTCAGAAATGTTGCGAATATTGATATATTTATCCGAGTGGCTGTGTACAAACACACACGTTAAATCATTTAAGCATATATAATAGATTGAATAAAGCGGAAATTGGCAACTGATTTAATGAAAGGCCAGCTAAAGGCATTTACGTTAATTAGATAAATAGTTGATAGATAAATAGTTACTGGAATTTCTCGACATCAAAGAACGAATCGCTCGTCATTGCCGAGTAAATTACTTTCTTTTATTCAAAGTGCAACGAAGATTAGGTTTGGGAGAACTGACGCTACATATTTGAATCGTTTTCAAGGGTTAGGGGGTAAGTTTCACTCATAGACATTATCAATTCAAAAGTAAAAAGAGTTGTGAAATTTTATATCACTACTTATTTTCATTATTAATATTTCTTACAAATTTAATTTACAAAATGATGAATTAATGTTAAGTTAAATTTTTTATTTATTAATAAAATGCTGTGAAAATAATATTACATTTAACAATGTTACATTTAAACATTTTATCATTTATTTATAACATATATCATTATATTGTTATATCAATTTTATTGGAAGTTTACGTTACATAGATATTTATATATTTTTTTAAGCAAAATAAAGCAATAATTAAACATTTTGATGTATAAATTTATTTAACGTGTATTTTATTACGTTTTGACGTATTTAAGATCTGTTTATAGCATTCATAAATATTTATTCGTTTGTAAAAACGTGTACTTAGTTTTAACAAGTATTTTTAACAAATAAAAAAAGTTTATTAGCATTTAAATTAATTTAATACGTGTCTGTAAAAGTTTTGGTTTTGTTATGATAATTATTGTGACGAATTGGTTTAATTAATTATTTTCATTTGCCAATATTTTGAAATTCTTCTGTTACAATAGCACACGATATAATTGTCAATTTCAGAATGGATAAAGCAATTTTATAGTCGCTTTGTTAAAAAGTATACGTGCTCATTTACATAATGAGATAAATGATTTTAAAAAATTTTTTGAGAATTACAGAAAACGATGTATATATTTCTTACTACAGAATGTAACATGATATCTAATCAATTTATTAATTCGGTTTATTAATTAGAATCTTTATTTATCAATAAACATGTAGAAATTACGATAATAATAATTCATAAAAATTGGGCCAGTAATATTATTGTTCCAATCAATAAGCCATTGGCGCTTGAATATATTAATAATCAATTGTATACAAACAGAGCCTTTGCAGCAGATTTTCATTTTTTATATTTTCAAGTTGATTATTTACTTTATCAATTTAATATCATTTAACCGATTTTTTATTCCTCCTATAACTATAAGAAATAATTTAGATAAACCAATAGGATTGTTTGTAGCAGATCGACGAATAGTAATATCCGATAAGCAATCGTGCGTTAGTAAAAAAAGAATTCGTGGACATTTCACATCGTAGCGGTATAAATATGTCTGGTACTATTGTGAAAAGGACTAACCGGATGATAAAAGGATGTCACCGATAATGTTCGTAAGTCCTTTCTTCATATGATCGACGCTTTCGAGCCACCTCACCTGCTCCCCAGCCAAGCCTGTGATCAGTCTCACTGCCCTTGCCATTCGCTCCTCGCAAAGTTGTTTTTGCTTCTCTAGTTCCATCTTTTTCTTCTCCTCCAACTCGAATTTAATCTGCAACAAATCTAGTCCATCTTGCACCATCTTTAGTTTCGCCATGGCTTTGTCGAGCATAGCCTCGGTCTTGGCGAGATCCTTCTCAGCCAGTGCCAACGCTGCCATTTTTGGCATTACGCGGAGGTTCACGAAGTAGTAGTTGTACATTGCATGGACCCACAAACATAGAGAGTGACAGGCTTTCGAAACTTGCGCCACCTACACAATCCGAAAAAGTTTATTTACACCTCGACCAAGCATTACTCGACTTTTCTTTTTCAGTTTTTTTTTTTTTTTTTTTTTTTATTCTTTTTTATTTGTGATTTAATGAAAGAATAAGCTGTCGCTACTCAATGCGGTCCTGGCTTTATTATTATGAAGTTGAGGGTAGCTAACGTATCGGTTGCCTTTGAATAGAAACACATTTTTCATTCTTTTGCAAAATACGGGTAGTTTACTAATCTAACTATTAATCAAGGTAGTTTATAACATGTGAAACGATAAAGAATCTTATAGTCACCTTGAAATATTATTCATCAATAAATTATAATGATTAACAACTTGTTGTAGCAGGTAAATAAATATAACGGCGAAAGCTCATGGATTTCCTATTACGTCATAATCCACGTAATATACTATGTACACAATGCACAAACGCACGCACACGTTCATGTATCATATAAATTCAAAATTAATAGATGCGCTATATATGAGTCGCGGAATAAATATATACATTATTAAGATAATTATTTTATCAATAAATTTCTTATAAAATTATCTATAAATTCCTAATTCTTGGCAATTAGTCAATATCTTTTTGCCCAATTCGTTCAATTCATGGATGATTGTAAATTTGATTCATAAGTTATAGAAGATATATTTTTTTATACGGTATATCGTAAATTTTTAAATTATAGCACATTGTATTTAATTTTGATATATTTTTTTTCTGTATATGTTATGAAATTTTTAAACAATATTCACATAACGACAAATCAATAGACTTTACATGAGAATTTCATGCATTGAACTATTTCAATTATGAAAGTAAAATAATTTAATTATGTCTGACAATAAAATCTGGCAAAATAAATATTTATTAGCTTTAAAATACCGAGTTTATATTTTAAATAAATGTATTGAGGATGAAAATATTTATTATTCTGGAATATTTGTGAAATTAGATAATACATAATTAAGGCTTTTAGTAGTTGTTATGTGCAATTAATTCTCAATTTAATGTTAGAAAATTCTATTTATTAGTACAATAATAACTTCCATTATTGCCGTTATAATTATGAATGCTTAATAAAGGAATAGTTTATTGTTTCTGTATAATAATTGAGTATACACGTGTTAGTGAAACGTATGAAAAAATTTAAGCTGAATTTATTTGCTAAATATTTTTCCAATTTATATTTTTCAGAATTTCTATTTTAATCTATCGTGCAATAATATTTATGATATAAATATGAATAAGTATTATGTAACCTATATGGATAGTGCTTTAAATTAATTTGGAAGGGAAAATAATAACCTTTTGTGGCGTGAAATTACGATTTTCTATGTAAACTTTTAATTTATTTATTATGTCCTCCGTCAATTCGTCTTTATTGTATTTTTCTAGCGATGCAAGAAATTGTCCAGCATCGGCAAGCATTTGACTTCCTGGCGTCCAATAATCGTTAAGTTTTTCACCTGGCTTTTCACCCGGAATCTTTAATAAATATCAAACAAGTTATTTAAAATACAAAGTTTCCCAAATCATCGAGATAAATTAATAATCTTTTCCAGATGCTACGCACTCTATTTGGTTTGACTTTTTTAATAATACATATTGTTTCGATTACGAGTTTTACTCCAACGGGCGGTCTTTTCATGGCTTTTACCTCCGTTATATCGCCTTTATTCAATGCTTTTAAGCTTTGTTCTGCTGCTTCCAGCATGGGCTTTGCAGTCTCTATAACGTTTATATTCGTTTTCATAAATTATGATGTTCATAAATTAAGTAATTTGATTTTTATTTACTTAGATCAGCTTCGGCTTCATCTTTTATCGCTTGGTTTTCCGTTTTCAATTTTAAGGCTTCCCTTTCTTGCTCTTCCGCTTTAATCCGAGCTACTTTCGCTTCTTTCTAATTGTTATAAATATTAAGTCGTTTGAGATAGAATAATATAATCATAATACAAATGACAACTGAATTCAGCTATTTACTGTATCTCGCTCGATTTCTTCCATCATTCTAGCAGCCGTTTGAGCAGCTTTTTCAAGTTCGGGTTTCATTTGCTCCAACATTATTTGTAACTCTTTAACTTCTGTTTGAGATGCAGCGAGTCTTTGTAATCCTGTATTTGACAAAAAAATTTTTATTTATACTTAAAATTACAGTAAAATGGACTGTAACCTATAATGTTTCCATTTAAGTAGATAAACTGCATTATTGCAATATTATTCAGCTTTAATGGTAATGAGCTAATAACGATGTACATTAAACTATATTTTAATCACGTGATTATTTTTCTTAATTATACTTAATGCATTATACTGTTCAATATAAATAAAATATTTAATAATATTCTAAAAAGTAAGAGCTTGATGTATAATAGATATAGAAAAAAAAAAATATATATATATATATATATATATGTAAGATTTAAAACTATTATTGTATTCGTACATATTACTATACATTATGATTAATAGTAAATCTAAAATGTAATAATTTTTTAAAAAAGTGGAATAATATTATGCACCTGTTGTTAATCGAAATATGCCTTGAGTTAGCTCTTGTTTCTTTTTATTCAGTAGATCACCATAACTGGAAATAAGTTCTAAATAGGAGGTGGGGGTAACATAATTATGACGGTTTAACTCCTGAAACATTGAAAATGCATATTCACGTTAAAGTCATTATGACCAATTAAGCTATATTTTATTTCTTTATTTAATTTTATATTTCATTAGACAATAAAAATAACAAAAAATACATAAATGAATCTAATTTTTTAAATAATATATTTATATATATATATATATATATATATATATCTGAATGCAGGTTTAGATATTTAAGATGTACTTTTACTATTTTTCTATGTTAATATTTTGCTTTCACATACATTAAAATTTATGAATACGTTCATGAACTTTTATATCGACAAAATTTTACATTTAAACTAATATTCGTTAATCCAAAAAAAAAAAGAGTAATCTAAATGACATAAGATAATATTTTAATTTTAATTATATAAGATAAAAAAAAAGATAAAATATGTTACTGTGTAATTTAATGGTTATTAGTAAAATTAAACAAGTCTATATTTTCATTACTGTTACTCTATATAAATTACAGCGTTGTAATTATTAATCACATCTTATAACTATTAAAATATTACTTAAAAGACGTATAATTAAGAAATTTACAGAAATTATCCTTTCTATTATATTGTATAAAAGTGAAATATTTAATATTAAGGATAATTTAATATTATATTAAGGATTCCACTGTTTATTATTTACAAATACATATATATATATATATATATATATATATATATATATATATATATATAATATATAGCATAAAATTATTTAATTTTTTACTGAATACAATAGCACATCGATATATAAGAAATTTGCAGTTTGTAATATGCATGTATTTATCATTCAAAATAAAGGAAAAAATTTATTCTAGTTGAACGAGAAAGAACATTATCTCAAACTAAGTTTCAAGCTACTTCTATATATTCGAAATGACGGAAACTTTTACCGATCTTTTATTTAACTTTCACTTCTTAAAATAGAATCGAACCAATTCTTTTTGTAATGAAAGATTTTTCTAGTTTTTTTTTTAAGCATAGAATGAATCTATTTTGTTTAGTTTTTTTTCTGAAAGATTTTTTTATTCTTTTGTTTTGGAGTGTAGAAAGACTCTATTTTGTTTCATTAGTGATCTATTTTGAACTATTTGTAATTATATTAAAAAGTTTTATTAAAAACAGGCGGTTAAATTGTATTTATAATAAAATGCTTTAAAATTGATTATATTTGAAAAATGAATAGTAGTTTAATGAAAAATAATGTATCATTGATATTTACATTCAGAATACAATATAAATGCCAATAAAATATAATATGCAGACAGATATTGGATTAATTGTAAAAAAAATTTTTTTTTAACATACAATGACATATCTTCTATTCAAATAAATTCATTAGTTATTTTTTATTTTATACTACATATACTGTTTGTAATTTATTAAAAATAAAAAATTAAAGCATAATTATTTACTATCTTAAGAAATTAATTCTTACAAGAAGAGAAAGTAGAAAATTCCTGAAAAATAGTGCACTTTGATTTTACAAATTAACATCAAATGCTTTGATCTTAAAAATTTGACATATAGAAAGTTTTACGGAAAACGTAAATTTTTACAAGCTTACACGTGATTCATCCAACATGGAAATATATTTTGAATTTTCAATATAAATTTTTAATCTTCGTTAAGCCAACGCGAGATATCATCCGAAAGTAATGTTGAAAGAGAAGGAAGAGAAAAAAATGCGTATAAAGTTTTTGTTTGCAATGTAATAACGTGCACTGCTTCACCTTTTTCAGCCAAAAGAATAATTTAAAAAATTTCCATATAAATTTTATTTGACAATTTTACTTATTGAATGAACCCTTATTGATCCCATCTATGTTTATTCAATATACCATCGGTACTGATCAAAAAGCATTATATTTACAATCAGTCTTTAAAGATATTATTTTTAAAATTCTATTTAAATGTAACTGGATATACTCATTGGATAGCCGACATTGTTAATGCAATGGTAATGAAAAGAGATACATACTTGAGAAAATTCTTCACTGGCTTTTATCACACTGGAATGCATAAATTGGCATGTTTTTACAATTGATTTTAAAACAGATTCAGTAATGGCTTCATCTCTTACAGATCCAAGAAAATGTAACGCAACATTCTAAAATATATTAGTACAGGCGGTGGCTTAAAGTTATTCAGCAAGCATTATCAATTTATTATATTCGCGTGAAAAAAAAAAATACCTCAAGTGCACTATCTGGCCACGGATCGAACCAATCTATTGTGCAAAGATTTACTAAAGCCGGAAATTGTCGGATTCGAGCTCGAAATATTTCTCCAATAGGACTGCAATTAAAGTGGATACGTGTTTATACGTGGATGTTATCAATGATTATATTAGACTTTTAACTGACCAAAATAGAGTACCACATAGATATAACTACATGCAGATTATTTTGTATTATTTTACAATAAACTGCATAAAGATTACTTCTGTTCATTTGAAGACCTGATTCTTGCACAAAAGGTCGCATCGTTTGGAATATTTTATCCATTTCCTCGGATTGATAAATATTCGCCACATCTCCACTACTTAATATGTTATTTAAATCCTCTAAGAACAAGTCATTCTTAATCTAGAATCAATGAAATTATTATGCGCGTGCTTTTACTCATTCAAATATAATTACAAAATATTTTTATATATTATATAAACCTGAGTATCGGAGAACACAAATACAGTGTGTTTATTTGATAATCCAGTCTTTAAAAGAATACTTTTAACGTCCTCTCTCCAATCTCGGATCGAATATGTTTTGGTTAACTCAATTTGGAAGCAATAATATTCCGCAATATGCGAAGAAAGTTTTGTTAAGCTCTGACGACCTGTTATGCAATTATTTCATTTGGACATTGTAAATGATTGATATTCTACACGATGAAATCCAATTTTTATAACGAGACAATTTTCATTATTAATGAACGTCGTAATTAATAGATTGTATTTAATTTAAAAATATAAAATTTTAATGAATTTAATATTATCTTGAAAATGACGATGATTAAGATAATATAATTTATTAAATAAATTTATCTGTAATTTTATTCCAAGACATCATGCCGTTTTAAAATATTATTAAAAATATATTTTGATAAAGTTTGGGTAATTTTCTATGATGTAATTTAGGAACTCTATTCGAGTTATGACCATAAAAAGTTAATTAATTTTACAAATAAATTTTAAATTTTCAAATTATTTTTACAATTTTAAAATCTTGCATAATAATATTAAGCATATCATAACAAACATAATAAAATGAAAATCTTTTAAATAATGTTGAAATAATTGAAGTTAAAGACAAACGTTAAAACAAATATTTGAATGCTATTTTATATTAATATTATGTTATTAGTTATTATTTATTATAGGAACAAGCGGATGAATAAATATATAAATAAACATACAATTTTGTACGGTTCTCATTGTCTCTTACACGGATTAAAGTTATTCGTTGGTTAATTATTTTTATACCCGTAATCTCAACATGGATAGGACCACTTATTTTTAATAATAATTGATTTAATAATTTTGATATGACGAATTATTGCAATAAATACATTATATTACATTATTTATTCACAGTAACAGATAGAATTATTTCCTATAAAAGTACATAAATCTTATGAAAATAAATATCATTAAAGACCAAGTTTTCAATTTATATTACTCGTTGTTAAGGATTTTGTAACTTAATTGAAACTGTATTAAAACTTTGTATATCATGAATAGTTTGATAAACTTCTTATCAAAATCAATCGCAAATTACCTGAGCCACCCATTCCCAATAAGAGAGCATTTCCTGGAGATTGTCGAAGAATTCTAGCTATGCGACATAAGTGACTTATAGCATCTTCAAATAGCACTAAATTCATAGGCATCGTTGTTGAATTATTATAATCTTCGAGAAAATCTGACAATGTTTTCTTCATCTGAAAATTGAAAATCTTAATAAAATTGTAAGATGTAGTTTTGTAGTTTTGCCTGTTATTTAATATAAAAAACCAAATGTTCTCAGTGTTCAATTTTATAATTTTATAATTTTCTTATACTGAAGTATGATTGAGCTCAGTTACAGTAATACCATAATTATTTTTTGTTTTAATACAACAGGATCACTATATTGTATTACTGATACTATATTATTATTATCATTATCATTATTATTATTATTATTATTATTATTATTATTATTATTATTATTATTATTGTTATTGTTATTGTTATTGTTATTATTATCATTATTATTATTATTATTATTATTATTATTATTATTATTATTATTATTATTGTTATTGTTATTGTTATTGTTATTGGACACTTTACTTTTTTAATATTTTTTATATGTTCGTAACGACTTCCAGAGCTACAGAAATCTCCGAAATACAAGTTTCCTTTAAATGAAAATTTATCGATGTCGTAGTTAAATTCATCCATCACGGTCTCAGCAAGCAAATTTTGAAACCAATTTCTATCGCTTTTGTTTGTCAGTCTATCGCTAAATACTCGAAAATTTTCGTGATACCATAATAATAGGAGATCGTCCGGTACCTACAAAATCCGTACGTATAATGAGTTTATAATAAGTTTGTTTTATTTTTCATTTAAGCGCGCGTGTCATCTAAATTTACGAAACTAACAATTATCTGATCGGGATCTGACATTAAAATCCCTTGAAATACTTTGCTCAAATCTCTGAGATTAAAAGTATAGTGGGATTTGTCAGGAGTTGGTAGAAGCTTTTTGCATACTGTCGAGTAAACTTGGAGGGTAATCTTGACCAAGGAATCGGAAAATCCCTTTAGACTCTTCGTCATTGAGAGCCACGACAATAATATGGTTCCGAATATATTTTTCTAAAATGAAAAAAAAATTTTATGTCAATTATTATTATAGTATATGCATAAGTAAGGCTTGAAAATGAAATATTATTTTCTTAATTACTCAAAAGTCAAGGAATATTGAATGCTCGAGATCAAGTAAACGTCAGCTTAATCAAGGTTTCAAACTTTTCGTTATGCTTCTATTGGCTGGTTGGTGAGGTTCACCCTAGCCCGAGAGAATGTTAGATCGCAATAACGGAAAATTATGGTGGCTTGTGCGAGAAGTTACGAGGCTTAATTGCGGCTTGGTAGGGGGTAGAAAAGAAAAAGCGAGGGAGCTCAGGACAAACATGCGTTAATCACATATAAAGATGGCTTCATCGCTTTCTCATTAACTGCAGATATGTGACGTGTTTGCGGCGGCTTTAATTGCGTTACCTTGGGCGTGGTTTTCTCTCAAATGGAAGAAAACCGAATAGCAACGTCAAGTTTACCAAATGGTCGATTCTGACCTTGGAAAGTTTCAGATTCCTTTAGTTCATAATAGAATTTATTTTCTCGTCATGCAGCATCCATGTCTACTGTTAATTTTCGTTTTGTTGTTACATCATAAAATGTAGTATGACGCAACGTTCATAAAAATTGTTATGATAATTTTTATAGTTCCATGAGATAAAAAATATTTAAATTATGAATGAAATACGCCTTTAATATCATCGAAGATTCTCAACTTATTATGAAATTGTTCATTTACAGACGTTATTATTAAATACCTGGCTTATAAAATATTTAGTCTCAAATCTAAAGTACACGATAGCTTGAGCTATTAAGTAAATAAATGGGATTATAATAAAGACGTAGGTAAATGAGCACAAATTCAACTAATTCCTTAAAAGTAAATTTGCACAAGCCATCGAAAACTAATATTAAAGATTCTATTAAAGGAACCTCCAATCGTATGTTTATCTTGTTCAATATCCACCTGAAAATAGAACTCGTAATTGCCTCCAATGTCTTTCAATCGCAAAGGGACAAACTTTTCTAATGTTTAACATTTTCTTACGAGCCTACTCTAAAATTTATTATTTTTTCATTGTCACAATAATCCTTACCTTTGTGTCATCTTCCATCTCAGGAAATGCAATAAAATGAAAATGACGTAAAAGTCGAGCGGTTACGGGATTCCGTCCTCCACCTGGAGGTGCCATTACACATATAAAATTAACATCCGTAATGGTTCTAAACGAACCGATTTCCTTCCTATCATACCATCCTGCAATAGTTAAATAACATATTTTTTATATTAAATTGTTTTCATCTTAGCGATTTTTTTTTTTTTTTTTTTTTTTTTTTTTTTTTTTATTAATTTACATCTAATAAAAATTAATCAAGACTTTATATCCAAGTATATGTATGTATTTGTAATAAGCTGGAGTTGGAGTTATAAATATGCGAATTATTTATTGTATTTATTAAAAATTTTTTTAATATATAGATATACTGCATTTTATATTTCAAAGATACATGCAATAGTCTGTATTTCTAAAAAATAGATAAAAAAATTAATGAATGAAATATTATAAATAGTTATGGTAGTTTTAATACAGTGTGTTTTATTATTGTTAAAACATATTTTAATAATGCACAAAAAGTGATTTTAATACTAGCAATTAACGAATTTGGTTTTGAATATATCATATCAAAGAAATAATTTTTATAAGCGAAGTACAGTTGAAAATCATTTTTCTATGACTTGCTACTTTTTCGCAATATCTCATTTCTTTTTAGTAATTGTATTATGAGAAAAAAAAGTAAATAGATACGAAATGTGCGATTATTCAAAGAAATTAATATTAGTATTGGTTTAAAAAAAATATTTATAAATCATTTATTTAACTACATTTATTAGTACAGTTAAATATTCAACAATATAAAATTTTATTGCGTAGTTTATTAATATTACGAAAGTATATCGTAAGTTTTTAATAAGCATTTATGGAAATAAATTCCGAATATTTAAGTAAATGGATGTAAATGAAATGTATGAAAGTAGCTTTTAAAGCATTGAGTAACTGTATCTCAAGGGGTTTTTTTGTTTTGTTTTTTTCCTTTAAATTTAATTAACATAATTAAGATTATATATGAACATTTCGAATTCTATTTTTACAAACAGTCTTTTTTTCTCCTTTACAACTCATTAATTGCAATGACGAAAAATGTCACAACAATTCGTAACTTTTCGTTCTAGATAAAGACATAATGAGATTTGGTCTATCTATAAAACGAGCCTTCCCACATCCCGTAATTGGACTACGAATTCCAAAGTTCGATACTATATATTGATAAAAAATAAGTCCTCTTATCGATTTAATATATGATCGATATTGACTGTATGATTTTGTTTTAAATTGTCACAATCAGCTGACGATTGAGATTTGTTAAACTAAATTGAATATTATATATTTTTTAATTTTAATATTTTCATAATTTGTTGTAATATTATTATATTTTAAAATTATTATATAATGTAATATTTCGATTTTTAATAAACATTATAATATATTGTATATATATATATATATATATATATATATATATATATATATATATATATTGAAGAAAATTTGAAGATTTTGTTGATAAATAGCTTTTATGGATTTTGTAGTGGAAATATTAGCAATACGTCTTATTGAAAAAAGAAATCTTTACATTATTTATGATTATTAACCTTGAAAGTCCATATATTGGCGTAAGAGCTCGATAGGTGGCTGAGCACCATAAGTCTCGAGTGCTGGCATATTTAAATCGTCGATGAAGAAGATTTGCTTTTTTGAAATCGGTGGACCATACACACCTCTGTGCCGCTTATCCAGTTTACTATCTAATAAGTCCTGTGAACAAAATCCAATTGAATAATAATTGAGATTTAAATTGTAATACGCTTGGGTTTTATCATTTTATAACGTACTTGAACCTGATTAGCTGACGTTCTAGCCGAAAAATTAATGAAATCGCAAATGAATCTTTTTGGCATATTTCTCGAAAGTTTGGTTGAAACTGTTAATGTTTTGCCGCTACCCGTTGGCCCGACACAAAGTACATTACATTCGCTCAACAATAAGTAATCAATCAACTCCATGCTGCGCACCATATCGATGGTTGCAATTTCAATGTCTGTAATTATTGACCGTACGTTCGATTATAAAATTTTCAATTAAAAAAATTTTCTGACATATTATATTTTTTATTATACTTCATATTTTGCCATATATATATATATATTTTTATTAATATTTTCGTTTGATTTCATTAATATATTCTTATTGAGAATACACGCAACTTTTATATCCGCTGGTAAAATTTTTAAATTTATCTACGTAAGAAATAATGAACTTATTCATTTTTATATTCATAAATATTTAAATTTTAATATTATATTGTTAATTTTTATATTATAATGATAGTAGCTGTAAAGTTTGTAACTTACAAAATTGTTCACTCATCGATTCGTATTTAAGAAATGCTAATGAATAGTATATGATATATAAATTTGCTTAAATTTTATTCGATTTATTACAAAAATATATTATATATTAAAAATGAAAGGATCCATTAGTATTTCATTTATAATGGAGCTGTTGTAAGAGGTTACATTAAATACATTAAATTTTTCAAATAGAAATATAAAATTTCAATTTTATAGTTTAATATATAAATATATATATATATATATATATATATATATATATTTTACCGTAATCGATAGTAAATAATACATTTACGTATTGAAAAAGTACAAATATCATTTTTTAAACAAATTATTTTACATCCTCTATCTATTTTGAAGTACTTTTATACATAGCGCAATTAGAAAAGTAATGAAAATATTTATTATTTAGAAGATATATGAGCATTATTTATTATACGTTTAAAATAGTAAAAAAAAGTTATTAAAATGGAAACTTAAAAGAACGAGAGTTGATTAAGCCACGTATGTGAGATTAATTTGACATATCCCAATATACTTTTCAACACATTGAAAGAATTTTTAATAACGTATGGATATAGTAACGAAAAAGTACATAGAAGAGTAGCGATAATTAATAATAGTAATAAACGCTTAAAGTTTAAACACTTGATTATAAATAGTAGATAGCGATTAATCTATGGAGGGAAAATTTATTTCTGTAATATTTATTATTTAATATTTATTATTTAATTTATTATGTAATAATGAAAACAAAAATTTAGAACTCTTGGTGCAAGTCAAACTTGAAAATGTGAGAAAGGAAATGCTCGAAGCTTGACGATAGCCACATTGATAATACACTGCACTGGAGGCGATGGAAAAAATTGAGTACTTTATCAAATAATAAAACAGGTAGCTCTTGAAATGAATATGGCGAGTCATATCTATAGCTCATACGAATCAAAAGTCTTGATCTAAAAAAATTAAATAGCAGAAACAAGTAGAATATAAGTAATTGAATAGGAAAAGGCGATACGATAAGTAGAAAATACAGGTAATAAAAAAACCTTTCTTATCATTTTCTTCGAGATTTCTCGAAAGCGCACGTAATTAGAAGGATTCTGTGTTCGCGCAGAGTATTAAAGTACGAAGACCCAAACGAAAATGTTTTACCCATTAGATCCGGATTTTATGAAAAGCTATAAGCTTCGACAAAATGAAGATGAAGCGACTATGGGCGTTGCTGATGTCAATGGCATTACAGGAATTAATACGATTAGTGTATTGAGCGTATGAGCGGTCACATTGTAAATTCAAGAGAGTTAGGATTAACAAAGACGTGCCCACGTAGACGTTTGGGAGGTAATTGTAGTTGCTCCATGTAGGAAGAAAAGTATACTGTTTCCTTTAAAGAACTTTTTAAAAAAGACCAACTAATCTCTTTTCTGCAATTTCACATTTCAGCTAGTTAAAATCAATGTTATGGATCTGCTATATCACATTCATCCCCTCATAGCAATGATTAATCATTATTTATTAGAAACAATATCAATGTCTAATTAACTACATTCTACAATAGTGTGCATATCAACATCCCTTAATTCTACTGTGATAATTATTAAACATTATTTACTCATTATATTATGATTTTCTATTTCATAGAAAGTTTATAAATCAGTTGCATTTGTGATTATATTTGAAGACACTAGTTTTAGTAGCATATATGTTTCCTTGTGGGGGAAAAATGAATAAAATGTTTTACTTGTTATTTTCGAATATTGGAATACTTTATATATATACAAGCTTTCAACTATTTCGATAGTATTTCAAGTAAAATATGTGAAAATTTTCATAAGAATTATTTATATTTACATTTTATTTTTTAATTTTATAATATACAGACACTTTGACCTCTTGTCTGCTAAGTTTTGAAATTATATCAATATTTAACAAGGTTTCTCATTTAGAAAAAACAGTTGAATATTCATGTATAATATAAATATTTTATGGAATAATCATAATAATAAAATTGAAAGGCAAAAAATAATATATCTAGCTTACTTGTAAAATATGCATTTATGCCATATATTTAATGCTGATAACTGAAATTACTCGTTTGTTTTTATTATTTCTTTTTTTATATGAAGCGTATGTAACTTAAAATTGACAAAAGATAAAGATAAAAATAAATGAATTGCAAGATATTGATAGGGTATTATAAAGCTGCGACATTTGGCGTCAATGATATTTTAATGGAGTATCTCACACGCAATTATCCCCAACAATTTGGCGTTAATCATTCGCGAGTCTGTGCATATAGGATTTGGAACAAATGCGCCATCTACGGAGCGCATACGTAAAACTCTTCATAGATGGCGTATAAAGACGAGGATCCATAGGATGGAATTAATTATTTTGCGAAGCTTGTTCGACCTTACGATAGTGAAATGCCTGCGTGAAAAAAAAACTAAGATCTATCTCGCAATTACGTAAAAAGCTACTAACATTGTATTTTCATTTATCATAGATGAATAAACATTTATCAGCATGCTAATGTTAATATTATAAGTAGCATAAAAATCTAAGTTATAAGTACTTGAGAATTTCTTGTCGATATCAATAACGTCAATCGGTGCATCTTTTAACCATTTAGTCCATTGCATTTGATTTTCTACTTCTTCTTGAGCTGATTCGGATTCAACGAGAATTAGTCTGAAAATAGAGCAGAGCTTAATAATAAGACATAAAAACAAAATTAATACAATTACATTTTTCATAGTTGCTGTAAATGTAATAAGGCTTAGTGTTTATCAATCGATTGTGTAATAAAGTAATTATATCGTTTGAATAATTGAAAAAAGTTAATGTGATATAGTATGCTTAATTTATTATCCACACACACACACACACACACACACACACACACACACATTGAAATAATATCAAATGGGCTTGTATTTATTTATTTAATTATTTTAAAACTGCAGTTAGAGTTTCGAAAATTGATTTTATTATTTTTAGATCTGAGTATAATAATGAAATTAAATTACATTTGCTCTAATTTAAGAAGAATTTGAATATTAATAACTAATCAAACGTTCTTTATCTACTATATAATAAAGTAAAAGATAAAAAAGGTTAAAAAAAAAATACGGTAAAAAAGAAAATCTATAGAATGTGTATTATAAACATAAGTGATTTCTAATTTTTTTTCCCATACTTATTGATGGAGAAATGCTAAGTGACATACTTTCTTATGCATTTTATTCTATTTGTTTTTTATCTTTTCATTATTTATTAGGATTTTGTGCTTTAGTATGAAATCAAATAAGAATTATTTGTTTGTATTTGATCTTAAAATTATTTTATATTCATTTAATTTTTCGGGTGATATTACAAAATTTTGTCGATGCTTTGTAAAATTATTTCTATACTGGCATAAGTATTATTATTGTTATTCGGTGTACAGAAAAGTATTATTGCATTAAAATTTTATAACATTCGTTGTATTTTTCTTTTATTTCTGTAATATTTAGAAATATTCTAAAGGTAAGTTTGTTTTAAATACATAAATACAAAGTAAATATTACCTGCTTGATTTACATTTTGATTTTATTCGAAACTGTGAAAGTTACTTGGATATTAAATCTCAACTTTGTCTGAATATAAAATAATTTTTAATCAGTAATATGTCGCTGACCGAATGTTAAATTTTTGATTAAATTTAATCGTGCATTTAGATTTATGATATTTTCCTACTGCAAAATAGTACGTCTTCCGACGTACCATTGAAATTAATTCATTTAATATATTTACATAAAGATTATTATAATTAAAAAAAAAAAAAAAAAAAAAAAAAAAAAAAAAAAAAAAAAATGGAAAGTTATTTTTGTAGTTATAAATGAAAGGAATAGTCGAAGAAACTTTATAAATTCAACTTAAAATCGATCGACTCTGCTCAAGTAAAACGTGAAATGCCAATAAATGTAAGATATTAAGCGGTTCAATTGGTAACAGCAGTTGTACTAATTTATAAATTTGATTAAACCAGTAGGTATTGTTGTTTTAATATAAATTTAGCTGGTAAACTGTAATACATGATTTGCAAACATATGCTGCGACAATTTTAAATGAAGCTTTACTTTAATGAGAGTGATTCAGCGAGAAGTGGATTCATTTTTAATTTATTTTTATCGTTTAAACGGCTTCTTAGGTTATTAAAGTCTTTTATTGAGGTCAGACGTCTAATATCTTGAATTTTTCAGTCATTAAAATAAAATACAAAATATCAATATCATTTTTATCGATAGTGCTCCTATTTTATTCAGCATTGTATAATATATATGACTATTAATGCAATAGCAAAATAGTATTTCGAATTGTGATAATTATTATGGATTTATACGTAAAATACTTGACTGATGCATTATAAAAATTCATATACTGTAAATCACGTACTTGTAATCATAAACTAAGCCATCAGGTGGGAACTGCATTTTATGATCAGCTTTTCTTTGCAATTCTCGTAGCCATTCGCTGAATAAGTATCGACTATTCCAGTCGCAAGTAGCTCCAATGCTCCATACGAGTGCAAACGTCGACCAAGGTTCGAGAAAAGGATCTAGATATTACATTATAAAAAAAGAAAAAAGAAAAAGAAAAAAAGATGAAAATTGTTCAATTATTTAGAAAGTCGCTTTTATTCATTAATCTTCAAGCAATTAGAATGTTATGGGATTTAAAATGGGAAGTAAGGGTTACCGAGAGACTCGTTTTTCACTTTCAATGATACAAATTGATAATTCATTAGGTTTATATAGGAATGCACAAGTCCTGAATCAACAGTTTGCACAATTTCTGTTAAATGTTCTCGTAGAAATTTCAGTGCTGGTAACAACAAGGCGTACGCCAGTTTTGATAATCTTTCGGCATATGGTTTTATGTCCTATGTGCAAGAAAGTAATTTAGATAATAGTTTATTAGCGCCATTTGATTGAGGTAAATTTTATAGCTGATGGAAACAGTGATCGAGAGAAGACTCGTGAAAGTAATAAAAGATAAGAGTATTTTTAAATGAATAAATAACATTTCCTTTATTATGTCTCGATAAATACTGTAATTTAGATTCTCCATTGATGCTTATATATTAAATAAAAAATTCATCTTTCTTCTATTTATATATATTGAAATTTTTTAAATGATAATTTTAATCATAAAACTTACATCATGTAATTTCTCGATCCAACAATCAATAAAAGGATTTATGCCCAATCCTTTTGGCTCCATATAAACCATGCCACATCTAAATTGGTAAATGGTTGAATGGAACAAATAATAGACACTAATTATTGATAATATTTGTCATTGCCTCATTGAAAAAAGTAGGTGTTAAATAAATATTGTCCAAATAGCGTTAAAATATAAAATCATAATTTTTCATTAAAAATATCTTTATATATATATATATATATTTAATATAAAATTAATAAAATTTATATCTTGATACATATTAATATCATTTTTGCAATATTATTTTGTTAAAATTTCTAATTTGATCGTGTGATATAAAGGATGAGATAGTAAAATGTACTTTATTTTCTAAAACCTTGAATAATTTATGATTGATTAACAATTAATATTCATAGGCAAAAATTTGAATGATATGAAAGGTTAATTTAGCTTTTAAGTTGTGTTTATAATTTTCAAAATTAACAAAAACGATAATAATTACTGCATTTAATATATAAAAACTCGAATAATAAAAGAATTTCAGTATAATTTTCAATTATCCGTATTATATTGGGGATCCCCTATATACACATGTGTATGTAATTAGATATATAATAATAATATTATATATGTGTATATACATATATATATATATATATATATATATATATATATATATATATAAATATATAGATTGAAAAGATTATAATGAATATAAGATTGGCAATATGTTACTCAATTTTTTTATAAAAAAAAAAAGGAAATAAAATATCGATTAAAATATTCTGGACAGTAAAAAGAAAATGAAATCAAATGCATACATTTGACTTATATACATGTTCCGAATCTTCAAGACGTTAGGGGATTTCGAAACACGTATTACTCTTAGCCATCTACCGTTCGGTTGGCTTCGAGATTGATACTCAAGAAAGTAAATTGACAGTCGAGTGGAGACGTAAATGAAGTATTATAAACAATGGAAAGTGTTCGAAGGAAACAAGAGGAATCAAATGAGTCGAAGTAAAAGTCGAAAATTACTTTTATTGGTATCTTATAAATTTGAAATTATTTTCCTGCTGGTTTATAAGATTTTCTTATGACTTGAAAAATAATTTATTTATTATAATTTTCAAACCTGGATACTGTTGCCGGAGAAGCGACCTTCAAGTCGGCTACTTCGAAAATCATCGTTTGTGTTGGTAAAAGTCTCATTATTTCACCGGAGGATAAGCAAAGCTTTTTATTATCGTCGAGTACCGTATTCATGTTTTCGATCCAAACGGCGTCAACCGGCCCGTCAAAAACATACCAGCGTTTGTCATTATCCGTTGCCGTTGTTCCAGAACGAATTAAGGACGATAAAATTCCATCAGTCCTTAATAAAACTCGTATTACTTTTTTATAACAGACAGTATAGACAATGTTTACGTAGTCATTCATATTAGTAATACTTTCAATACAAAGAGTTTTCGATAGCTTTATGATATCCTGTAACTTAAATTTTGTTTAAAAAAATGTCGAGATTGCTAAATAAATAAATGCAAATAATAACAATTTATGGCAGATGAGAGTATTTCAGCTGAAATATTAACGATTCATCTGACAAAATTGATATATTTGCTTGCCACTAGCGTACACAAATGTTAAAGTACTTTAATAAGTTTCAAAAAACAAAAAAAAAAAAACCTATGAGCTATAAATGTTAATTTATACCGCATTAATAGTTTACTATAAAAATAACGAATCAGCTATTGTATTTTTAGCCATTGATAAATGTAATGACTATGTTTGCCTTAACTTTCCGACAAGTCAGAGTTTTTTTTTTCTTTTCATCATCTTCGTAATCAATAAGAAATCAAATCAGATAATTTCAATATTCGCATTATTGATATTTCGAAGCATCCAGGCGCAATAATTATGCGAATAATTATAAGCACTGGGTAATCGTATTCCTTATATCTTATTCCTCGGCGTATAAAATAAATCGTTTAAACTTCCGGATGCAATACATCGATTATTCAATTAACCCCTCCAGTTAAGCCATTTCGACCGTCAGTGGAGGTCATTTATAAATCGATATACCACCCTATTACATTGCTCGGCTTATTTCAAGAGATTGAGTGCCACGGCCCTTTAACGCAGCGAGCGACAAAAACACGATACTGATGGAATCGTAATGCCATGTCGTGAAAGTGAACCGAGTGTCCATAACGCGTCTAGAATGCGAGGTTCGGCGCGCAATATGAAAAGGGCATCGAACAACCTCGCATTTCGTGTTACTTCGATATTACATCCCCTTCGACTCTAACCACCTCCATTCCTTCCCCGCCCCGTTAGTCGCCGACATTATCCTCGTTCACGTGTACATCGCTCGCATCATAAACAGCCATGAATGCAGATGCCAAGGCGATGAAGCCAGAGATAAAATTCTACTCTCTTACCACTCGTGGGTGTTGAGATCGTACTCTCCGTATAGCTGGCCCATGGTAATGGATTTGGGATTCACAACGTAGGTGTGCACGCGGGTGAAGGGCTTACCGCTCGGCTGCAATTGGCCCTTGAGCTTCGTGCAGGTTTTCCTCAGTACTTGGTAGCACTGTAAATTTCATAAAAATATTATAATTCCCGACTGTGAAGCGAGTATCGATATAATGCTTAGGGAGTGATGGAAGTAAGTTGATTCTGTCACCCACGCAACGACGAATAAATTCTTCTAAATACTTTCGAAGCAGCGCGTTCAGTTGGCCCATTGCTAATGAAATAATAATCTTAAAATATACTCGAAATTCCGTAATTATTTATTAAATGTATACAAATTTGTTAATAAGTATTGTTGGGTAAGGTATATGTACCAAATGGCATCAATACATTCGGAAATATTCTCTACTTTAATATCTTTGGAAATATTCAAATTAAAATTTGGTATGCTGATACCCAATATCGATTAATTGACTTTCTTTCTTTCTTTCTTTCATCTTCTTCTTTTTTGTTTCTATCAATTGCATGCCCGATTTTCTAATTTTTAATATACAATTAACTAGAAATGAGTTAATTCACTAGAAAATTTATCAGTAATTTAAAGTAAATTAGATTTTTATTCGTTAATTTACTTACTTCTCAATTATAAATTATCATTAAAATTTTCGCAAACAATTTTCCTAGATGATTATCAATAGCAAATGGCTCCGGATAATTTAATCATTAATAATTAAAAAGATTTCACGTACGTATTATTGAAAGTTAACTTATAGATTTTATAATTCGGCATTACTTATTTTCAATCTTTTTTTTTTTTTTTTTTTTTTCATCTTCTTCCTAGTCTTTTACTCGTGCTCTTTCCTTTTATTATTATAATTATTATTCTAGTATTTGTAGTACGCGATTGTTTTGTGCCAAAAGTTCGAATTGTAGTCAAACGAATCTGTCTAGTTGAGATAGAATGTGTAAGGATTTAAGAAGAAGAAGAAGAAGAAGAAGAAGAAGAAGAAGAAGAAAAAAAAAAGAAATTAATATATAAAATTAAATTAAAATATTACTATAATGCTGTTAAACATATTAGTGATTTAATTTAATCTAAATTACAATTTTAAAATAAAAATTTTTTTGTATATAAATATAAAGCTTTTCCTCTGAAATATTGCTCTCTATTAAAAATATTGAGAATCATTGGTAGTAGATAATGCAAATTTTATTTCGTTTTATTATTATTTGACTGTATTAAATTATCGGACTAATGTGTTACAGCAATAATTGACTAATATTAATGCACGATGCGCAATTTATAAATCAATTAGAGATGTCAATAAATAAAGTAATACGAATAATAAATTATAATTTAAATATAAAATTTGTTAAAAATACTTTTTCTATTAATTTTTAAATGCAATTAAGCAGGTTAATTACATTGGAATAAATTGGACATTTTGTAAATAATTATCATAAAAGTAATAATATTCAAAATTTGATATTCCGTATGCTATAGTTAAAACTATTATTGTACTTATACGCGCATACTTATAAATTCTCATGCTTGATGAGAATTAAAAAGCATTTCTGAAATTTTAGGCAATATCGAGGCAATATTGTTTTGCGGTAGGAATTACAAGCGACCATTATGGCACCACGTAAGAAAAATGACTCATCTAAAGTAAAAAAAATACCACCTTAAATCTTCCATATCTAACGAAGTAATATTATCCGAGACTAGATTTCATCAGAATAATATTTCACGATATTCCCTAGTACTAATAATAATGACAATCTGAAAGTATTTAATAATTAATGGTGCTTGGATGCACGAAATACGATTAATGACAATAAGAATTATTTTCTAAAAATAGAATGAGAGTAATCTGTAATTATAATAGGATTTTCGTCTCGTGCAATGTTATATTATCCAGCCAGTTATGTTTTCACTATGAACATAGAGATATGAAAAAAAAAAAAAGTAAGCACATTAGATATTCAGGAACGCGTGATGTAGGGATTACGTAATCTATCAAACAATGATGAGAATCGACGACTTATAAGTGACATATTTGATAGTGCGCGTATAAATTATATTTGATTGTTCTCATAATGTATTTTAATTCATAAAGTCTCCATCAAAATAGACCGACTGTCGCGGCTGATTTGATGCAGAAATTTAGCAGCTAAAATGTGTCGTGCATAACATCGTCCATTGAATGCTTCATATCAGCATGCGCTACACTGCTGATTATCATTAAAATAAAAAACGTAAAACAAAAACAAAAAGAAAAACACAAACAAAAAGAAAAACGGAAAGAAAATTAATAGAGAGAGAGAGAGAGAGAGAGAGAGAGAGAGAGAGAGAGAGAAACAGGGGGGAAAAAAGGCCACCTTTAAAATATTTCTTTACCTTGAACCATAACGTGAGCTCATACTTGAGAGATGCTATCTTATTTTTCTTTTTTAAGGCTTTTGCTTTTCCACGGTATTCGATTAAGTAACCTACAGTCCATAAACAATATTTTTTATTAATTTTGAGTAGCTTTGTATCGACCGGCGCCCCTATCCGCGCCGCGGCGCAGTTTAAAAATATCGTCATTGAAAGCTCGGCTCGGGAGCGAGAAGCACACTCACCAAATGCCACACATAGTACATCACGTCTCGCGTGTCAGTGAAGGTCCGTTTCAAGAGCAGACCAGACCGATTGAATTCTCTAGGCCGGAACCAATACTATTCGTTTGCTAGGGATACATATTACTGTATGCAAATTATTTGCATAGCTCATACGCTAGTCGTTGAATGAGAACAATTGGGATAGAATCGTGAATTATTGTTGCGCAAAATTTTCAAGCTCTGGCGCTTAGATGGAAGTGGTTTGTTTACGTGCCGTTAATTGCGCTAATTTTACCGAACGAGGGTTTAGCGCGTGCGTTAAATGAGCAATAATGTAGCGCTCGTCAATGAATTTGTTTGTCCGGGGTGAATGCGAGGCCCACCCGCCTACGTATTTATGTTTCTCTTGAGTCTCTCTCTCTCTCTCTCTCTCTCTCTCTCTCTATCTCATCAGCGCTCGAAATTAGGGTAAATTCAGAGCACCGTTCTGTCTATTTTGTACATATAAGAGCGAATTGGTCATAGTGGACGGTATAGAGGGGTCGAAAGAGCATTTTACTAGATCGTTACGCCTACCTAAGCAAGATCGACCGAACCCTGATTATTTAGCACTTTGTCTCTCTCTCTCTCTCTCTCTCTCTCTCTCTCTCTCTCTCCCTCTCAAATTTTTCTTTTTTTTTTTCTTTCAGTCCTTGGTGTAGGAATGACTGAAAGCTAACATAAATATAGACCGCTAAGTTTTGCCGCTGTTTTTACTCTACAGCTTTACTCGGCCCCATACCACCAATTCCATTTGAAACTTTTATACTTTTGCAGATTGCGCGAATCACGATTCTTCTTAGAAATTTGGTAATCGGCTGAAATCCATCAAACGCGCATTTTTTTCATTAGTCTAATATTTTCTCTCTTCATCTTATTCATCGTTTCGTAAGATTTATGTATATACGACTCTACTATCAGCTATTATCCATCAAACTGCTATTTATATCTCTACATAAATTCATGAAACATATATTTTCTCCACTATTTTTTGTATTCATATTTTCAAAAACACATTTATTTTTACAGTCATAGAGGCCGACCTATTCTTTATACATTTAACAATTTTGCAATAATTTGTTAGTGAGTGAAAGTAGTAAGTGAAATTTACAATTAATCAAAATTAAACTATTTTGTTTAAGCCTAACTTATATATTGTTAACGACGATTCTGCGCTCTGATAATAAATGCATTTTTATATTACTACATACTAATTTGGAAACAAATATTTTATACAACAAACAAATGTATTGAGGCAAAAAGAAATAATAGTCATTTACCTCTTCTTGTATTGAATTTAATGTACTAATCGTTTTTTTCACACAAATAGTATAAGTAAAATACAATTGCTATGATTATGATTGTGATTGTAATTAATGTAGGGCAGTAGATGTTCTTTTAGAATTCTTTCAGAAACGTTTATTTGGAAATAATAATAAGAACAACTTATTAATACACTACAATGATGAAATAGTATTTCTTTTCTTCTTCTTCTTCTTCTTCTTCTTGTTTTTTGTTTCTTTTGTTTCTTTTGTTGTTGTTGTTGTTGTTGTTGTAGTTTTATTAGTGTATGAGTTATTATTTGAAAAATCCTATTACCTGAAGTCCAAATCGTTTAGAACATTTATCAATTTAGAAGCAAAGATGTTGCCATTGTGTAAAAAAAAAAAAAAAAAAACAAAAAACAGTTATTCGTATAATATTTGTAATAGAACTGTCAAAGCTTATCATCCAGAATTAGAAAAAAGTTTTGAAAAAGTCGAACAATTTTAGCTGTGGTTGCGAAATTTCGGTAACTAAAATAGTTGACTTTGCGTTTTACATCCGATGTTTAACGTAGAAGATACCGAAATATATGTCTTGAATGCGATTTCAAATGTATAATTATTTCGATAATGCTCCCCTTATGTTCAGGGAATGGAATCCCGACTATTGATACATTTTCTATAAGAATTTGACAGACAATATGAATTTGTCAGGTAAATTTTGTAAATATTTTCATTAGGTATTTTATGATAATTATACCTGCACGTATTTTATTTACAAAGTAGTGCCAATGTAGTTTTGCATATAGACATCGTACTAAATATTAGTAAATATTTTCTCAAATTTTCTAATTTAATTTCAAATTAATTGAATAAGTGCTCAAAATAATTATTATAACAGTTATAGATATTATGTTTTTACATTGCGCGATATTAATAATAACGACAATAATAATCAATATCTATCTATCTAAGAACAATAACAATTCATTGTAAATAATATCAAATAATTTAGACATTAATTTGAGTACAAAAAAGGCTCTCATATTAATTTTTATTCCTAATTGTTATTATTATTATTATTATTAATATTTTAAAATAAATTTTCAATAATAACGTAACCGGTTGTGTACATTGTAAAAATATGAAAAAAATTGAGTAGAACTTGACTAATTCTTTCAATACATTATTCCTTTAATCGTTGATCGTACAAGACTTTGAATTCCATTTCGTATCTTATTTTTTCGAATTCGCCGACCAATCCTTGTAGAAAAGTTGATAAGTAGTCGAGTATACAGAAATAAGAACCGCCGTGCTGAAAATAATTGTATTTACTTGAAACTAATTTTTGTTTTTCCCATCACGAATACTCCATGCAATAGTCAATGAAAAACGAGAGAAAGATAGTCAACGGGCCGTACACGAGTGCAATAGTGCCTACGGCGCATGCGGGAAACTTTCCGAGTCGAGTCCACGAAGCGAAGGGTTTGCGTGGCGGCAGATGTTCAGTTTCCTTCGCGCGCTATCGTCTACGGTTGCTCCGCGCGCGTTCCTCTCTGTCACACTTAACCCGGAAATAATAGCAAAGAAGACAATAGAAGATACAACGATTGCTACGATCCAGAGGTCCATTGATTTTCCTCGCAAGTTTACTTGGTTGCCGTATTCGTGCTTTCACTTGAATTTCATGTCAATATACACTCACCACTCGTCGTCCGTTCTATTTTCCTCGTTTTATTTTCCATTTTTTTTTTATTTTTATTGTTTATTTATTTATTTATTTTTTTTTCTTTCATTTCTTTGTTTACTTCGCCATAAGAGCGCAAAAAGAGGTGAATCCATTGCGAGGAGTCTCGCTTTCATTATAAAGTACAATCGTGGTTATCGGGAGGAGTCAGTTGAAAACAAGTTTGTACGGCGGAAGGGCTTAAGCGGATAATTCTAAAAATAGACAAGCGTTTAAATGCCAATGCTTCGATATGTTTAAATTGATCAAGTGACGGAGATAGTGGTTAGAGGTTGAATATCATACGAAATAACCATGAATCTTTCTCCGATGACAGTTGAATCGTGTGCTTGTAGGCAGCGCAATCATGACGCTCGCATGAAACCGTCGACGGCACTGCCGCTGTAAAAAAGGATCTCAACGAAACGTAAGCTAGGGAGCTTCTTATGGAATAGGCTTGCCGATTGGAAGAAATAGTTGCCGAATGCCAAGGCCGTTGAGAATCGGGCAGCAGGAGGCAACGATACGAATGTAAAAAAATCCAAGGTTTTGTTGTACGAGCTGATGTGTGATCGTTCGACATGATAAGAAATTGGAAAGCATCGCAGGAGGTAAAGAAGTGAGGTGCCGCGGAATGTAACTCGCGCGGTGTCATGGACAATTGGGAAAAATGCGAGGAGCGGTAAGGAGCAGGCTAAGGATGCGAAGAACGCAATTATGAACATCCTCTTAGGTCTGACGACAACGACGACGAGGTGTGCCTTACTCGAGGCCACCTCCAAGTACGAACTCCTGAGCCGCGTGCGGCGCTCCACCAACAATCTCGGGCACAACCTTACGGTGCACCAGCAGCGCAATCGGACTTTCGAATCCATCGAGAGCTTCGAGGAAGAAGCCAGCGAGGAGTGCCACTCGCTTTATTTCGTCCTGGACTTTTCACACCAGTATTACATTCCGTTTATCATTCTTCTGGGTCTTGTCGGCAATCTCCTGTCCTGCGTCGTCTTTCTCAACACGCACCTCAAGATGCGGAGCTCCAGTTATTATTTGGCCGCCTTAGCGACGGCAGACTTCAGCTTCCTATTTTCACTGCTGCTCGTCTGGCTGAACAATGCAATCGGCTGGCGCGTCTTTAATAAGGACGGCTGGTGCGAAACCGTCGTTTACGTAAGCTCGGTGTGCAGCAGCCTTAGCGTTTGGCTGATAGTCGCTTTTACCGTCGAGCGCTTCATCGCCGTGCAGTATCCGCTTCATCGTCCTCACATGTGCACCATCACTCGGGCCAAGGCCATCGTTCTCGTCCTCGTTGTCCTAGCGATGGCCAGTCACTCGTACTCGTTTGTCACAGCTGGCGTCGTCAAGACCCAGGACGGCAATGAGATTTGCGACATGAAGAGCGAGTACCTCGAGACCATGAGGATCATCAGTATTATCGACAGCATAGCCAGCCTTATGGCACCACTTGTTCTCATTATCGTTATGAACACGATGATTATGCGAAACCTTTTGAGGTTTAGCAGGAGATTTGGCCAGACACCCGGCTTCAACGAGACTAGGTGCCCCAGTAGGGAGCGCTCCGATATTAATCTCAATCAGATACCGGTAAGTTTCTACGCGTCTTTCGCCTTTTTACTATCCGCGCACGGAAATTCTTAAAGGAAGTAATAGCAATCAAATTCACGCCCACTGGCGCATTTATGTGGCATTGAATTAGAAACAATTGACAAACATTGACAGGCAATGTTTTACTTTAGGCGGTGTGTATATTGGAGTGTGTATACATCGGCTTAACAATGATTACGGCAAAGTGTAAAATAACACAACAGAGTATTTATCAAGTTCGAGTCGGTAGATTTTTTGCAATAAATTTTCGATACTTCCAAGTTAATAGAAACTCCACCAAGTTAATCAAAATCAATGTTCAAATGTATGCACGCCTTGTATGTTATATTAAATATCTTTTTTTTCTTAATATTTTTATCACCTCGTATTATTATATGATTTTATTTTACATTAGATTTGCATATATTGAAACTCTATTGGCGTAATGTCGAAAAAATGTAGTTTGAAAAAATGGATGTAGAGAATTTTTAGATATTTGCGCAATCACTTTTAAAGGCAACGAATCACGCACACGTTTAATTAGATAGCATAGTATTATATAATTATATAATAATTTTATCCAAATTTCCATCAATTGGCTCTAATTTTGTATAATATTTTGCTCGATAGCTACCATCCTGTAAGTCTATATATTAACATTACTGTAATGGAAGTTAATTAGAAGCATTATTAAAATGCAGAATATTTACATTCGTACGAAATTTTCATACTTTATTGGATTTAGATATATTCAGATTTTGTAATATTTTAGTTTTTATTTACAATTTGATGAACCACAACTGGTTATGCTAATTTCTCTTAATCCTAAAGATGATCCAAGTTTTCGGAAATTCCTCGATGATTTTTTTTTGTTTTTTGTTTTTTTTTTTTTTGTTCTTAAGAATTACAATCGGCTAAAAGCAGTTAATCAGATTACGCTAGGATCTTAATTATGTTAATACGTAGTAATAGAAAAATTATTTATTCGTTACATACATAATTATTAAATATTTTGTAAATTAGAAGTGAGTTTATTCTTGACGGTTATCGAATCAACAACAATAACAACGGTAACAAATCAAAATCGGCTAAGTAATTAAATTGAAATAATAATTTATATAAACAAATAAGTAATATAAATAATACCTATAATTTCTATAAAAAAAAAAATAAAAATTATTATAATAATACCATAAATAAATAATAAACGAAAACAATATGAATTTAATGTATAAAAGAAAATTTGTAATAAAATAGAGAAACCAGTTTATCAACTATTAATTTTTTATTATTCTTAAAAATATAATGCCCATAGATGAATTTAGACTGTCAATAAATAAAATTAACACAAGCTAAATATTTATATATATGAATCTGATATTTTTTTTTTTAACTTACAGTTATAATAAGTCACCATTTATATAAATTATGTGCTATAATTTTTATAATAGTTCAATTTATTAAAATACTAAAACTGTAAAATTAAGAAAATTAGACATATAAGTCACAAAATTCTCAAAATAATATAGAATACCGCAAATCGAAACCTAATAGATTATAAAATTTCATTTCATTCCAGAATGACTAAAAATAAGTAAATTTAATAAAAATGTAAATGAGTTTTTGTGTTCCTTAAAAATTGATTAGAAAATATTAATAATAACTCTATTTCAATTAATTAATAAGATACGTGGAATATGTAAATAGAAAATTTACACGATCGAATAATTTATTTGTATTACTAAAAAAATATTGAGTAAAAGTAGGTCTAATTGACAAAAAAATATTTAAGTTTAAAAGTATAAATGACTTGCTATATTGATTCGTAATTCAAGTAATTTAAAATAAATTATCATGAATTACATATTCCTTCGAAATCTTGTATTATATATAAATAATTTTATCAAAATTGTTATTACAGAAATTGACCATACGTGTATCTATGTGAGTTGTTAAATATTTTAAAAACGCGAATTTTCGTATCATTGCTACGTCTGCTGTCATTATCTCAGTAGGTGGATACGCTCGTAAATTTGGTTGATACGAGGGTGGCGCAGAATTGCTTTAAATATATTTTTTTTAATTAAAGTAAGCAAAATTAATTGATAATAATTGCATAAGCAAGTGTTTTAAAAAATTATGATTAATCGTAAATTCCTATTTGGTAAGGGGAGTGGGGCGAGAATAACTTTTGTATATTGGAGTGATTTAATGTAATTAACATACATAATGTTTAACATCTTTAATATTAAAAACTATATTTTATTATTATAATTATAATGTATCTTCTATTTATCATATGAGAAGTAATTCATGCCGTGTTATCATGATCATATTGTTACTACGTAATCATTGATAAAGCAATCGATAACATTATATTTTGCTTAATACATTACGTTAAATTTCAAATTTCAAAAGAAAATCTATTAATTGAAAATCAGTAAATTTTTAAGTCTAAAATAAATTTCAATTTCTAGGAACGAAACGAACGTAGTTAAGAAATGCTTAATCCATACTTATGATAAAAGATTTCTTTTAAACTATATTTGTCTACATAGAAAGAGATGTTTATAAGTTTAAATATTTACAAATTAGTATGCAAACTCGTAGTGCGTTGTATTATTTTAAAAATATAATTTAAAAATACAGATGTAGAAACATTCAACAATTTATTTTGCGAAAATGAATTATTAAATTATTTAACAAGTGTAGGAGAAAATGTGCGCTCAATTACATATATTTGCTCTTATAGATTTTGAAGAATTCAGTGACCAATTGTGACGAATTTTTCTTATTTCTCATTATACAGTTGACTTGAATGAGTATTCTTTTTTCATAAAATCAATCATAAATACATTTAGTGTTCCTTGGCTTATGTATTGATTACACTAATATGTGCGCACTTACAAATAATAAAATATAAGTAGTAATAGAACTATTTTAATTTAATTATATGTAATTGAAAATATTTTTTACAAATATCAATGTTGTATCATAAATACGAATAGTAAAGTTGCATTAATTTAAATGATATATGAGTCAGTCATCTGTTAAAACATCTGTATGTAAGATAAAAATTTTTCTCATTGTCATAAGTATGATAAGTTTTGAAAATCGTTGTTCCTGATACATATGGGGATTGCATAGAGGGGGTACGAACGTTTTCAGGCGTTATTCATGATAATAAAGCATTATAAGTGTCAAATAGGGATAGGAAAATAAATCGGGCCATTGCTTACGGTTAACAAGTTGTGATTTTTCCGATTAATAACAAGAGAGAGAGGGGGGGGGAGAATGTGTGTGTGTGTGTGTGTGTGTATGTGTGTGTGCGCGTGTGTGTGTAAAAGAGGGAAACTAATGGTCTCAGATTACACACCAGCCCTATGGTCTTATCTACTTGGTAATTCCAAGTCAAATTTTGATAGTTAGGCGAGTGTCTATTTCGGTAAATGAATGTTTTACGTTTGGGTTTTCTACATGAATGATAATGACGATTTTCGATCCTCCTAACTCAATGTCGATTTTCATACACCACTTAATTATCTTCTTTTTTTTCTTTTGTGAATATTATGAGATCGCGATTAAAATGGTCGTACTGTACTCACGTGATTCTTCATGGGTAATGAATAATCTGAGTTGTCAAGGTGATCATTTGAGTGGAGACTCTCACGGAGAATCTTATGTATACGTATTTATTGTGACATGCTTAGAGAAAATATGCTGCATAGGCATACATTTTTCTGCATTTATTTAATAAATATTTTATTAATAATCTTTTGAAATTTTTATATCGATGCGGTAGTAAGGCATTCATTTACAAACCATAGAAATGTAATATTTTTCATTTAATAGTCTCTTACTGCTTCGTGGTAATTATAATATAACAAGTTAGTAGGTAAATTTTTAACGATGTTCTTGATTATTTATAGAATTTAATAAAATTAATGAGGATTAGAAATTTGAGTTATCAATTTCTTTTTGCATTTTTTAATATATTACAGATCGTACATAAAATCACAAAATTAGACAGCTAATCCAGCATACATTATTAAACATTTTTAATCGTTGTATCAAAGAATTAATTTATTTTTAAAAAATTCTTTAATATGATTTCATAAATAATAATAAATAACTTTAAAATTTTTATTTATACCGATTGATTTTGGCACAAATCGAAATACCGTTTAAATAAATTAATAAATATATCCATTAAGCCTATTGATTTTTACTCATAATATTTTACATAAAAAATTAATGTAAATAGTAATTAAATAATTTTCTACAAATTTTTCAGTAAAGCTTGTTTAACATTAATACTGCAATTTAATGCTATTTAATATTAATTCAATAAAAGATTGAATTAAAAAACGAGATTTTTTTTCTTTTCTATATATTATTTATAATGATACGTTTTCATATATTCTTTACCTCATTTTCTATTGTAGATCATTTATGGTATTTTTAATTAATTATTTACTGATTACTGTAAGCATTAAATCATAATTATCCTACATAATGCTATTCATTTAGAAAGAATATATTAGTATTATTAATAATAGCTGAAATAATAGTTTGGTAAAAATTATATCATAACAACATAACATTTTTACATGTATTTATTGATGTTGGGCATTAATTTAAAATTAATCAATATTGAGAATATTAAACTATATTTAAGTATTAAAATAACCTTATCTGTTGAATTTAAATAAAAATATTATACAACTAGTTACGAATATAATAAGCGATATCGATGATTAAACAGTTAAATTAAAAAAAAAAATATATATATATATATATATGGAAGTTGTCGGATTAGAAATGAAGAAAATTTAAATATCGATAGTATGTAGACAATTATTTAAATTATCCTAATATAAGCGTAATGTGAATTCAGATACTATTCTGTTTTCTTTTATGTGTTTAGCTCCTCTTTTATTTATAAGTCTTACTTTTACCTTTCAAATTGAATATTTTTTTTCAATCTATTCTAAAATATTTCTATTTCTAAAGATATAGAAAATAAAATATTCCGAATCTGAAATGGTAAAAGTCTGTTTGGAATTTTTTTGAATCGCAATACGGAAGATACAAGATATATATACTTGAATCTATATATATATATATATATATATATATATATATATATATATATATAATATACTAATATATAGATATAAATTGCAATAAAATAAACATTTTTTGGCTTATAATATTAACGCCTGTTTGCAGTATTGGAATTTAGAGTGATATTTTTTTTACTTTATTATTATTTTTTCTCATACATCTTATAAAATCGCTTCTATCTTTATATTGTAATTAAAAAAAAAAATAATAAAGCATTTTATTGTTTATTTATTATTCAAATAACTAATATTTTCAGCATTATAAAGATTAATTTTTTCATACTTTTATTTTTATGTATTTTAGAATTTCTTCATTATTATTTAGACTATAAAACAAATCAATAATTTGTTTAAATTTTTTGGACATGTACTTACAGTATCATCTTAATTAGCAGATTATAAACTACAAATGTAATGTATTGTAATTAATGGATACATTTTGTTCCACTAAACAATTTAATATCACAAATGTATAAAAACATAAATAGTATAAATGTGCATTTTATAAATAAAATGTGTTTCCCGTGTTCTTTGTTTGTTTTTTAATAGAAATTCCTCAATAGTCCAATATAATTTTGAAATTTTTTGCCGATTAACAAAACTTATGCGTCGTATTTGTTTTCGGAATAATCGTTCAATACAATAAATTTATCGGATTAGTCACTTCTAACCATATCATCATTGATATTTAATATGTTTTATGAAACCTATAATACTATTTATATCGCGTAAACCAGACAATCAATAATTCCAAATAAATATTCTTATAAAAAAAAAATATTTTAGCTCTTACTCGAGATATTTTTAGCAGATTTATTTGATTTTACAAATTTTGATGGAAATTTTATACTCAAATTTGTATAGGATATCTATTGCCCTATCGATTGTATCATTTCTTATCATTAAATTTATTATTTTTATATAATGTGTTATGCACATTCAACACATATATAATACATAATGTTAACAGAGAAATTTATTTCATTACGATGTTTGGCATTTACTTTATGAGTTTTATAAAATCACACGTACTAATATTATTTTATTACTTATAATACAATATAATATAAGTTGGTCAATATTTAAAATACTCTTTTTATTTTTATTTTATTATTTAATCTTGACTTATAAATTAAATGAGTTAAAAAAATTTTGGTTTAAATATATAATGAAGTTCAAATTTTTAATTCAAATTTAAATATAAGCTTTACCATTCTTTTATTTTGTAAATTATTTCTCCAATTTTTACATTATCATGTTTTTATAGTTCAAATTTTAAATCTTTATTATTATGTTTTAATTTATTAGTATTGCCTCATTAATTAATATAATATAACATGAATTTTAAAACATCATGTTTAAATATTATATTATTTTAATGCGACAAAGGTAATTCGAAGCTAAACTGACCAAGAATTATTGAAAAAGTTCGTGTGAAGTAATTGTTTAAGTATATCATATATCATTTTAATTTTATTAAACGTATTTAATTAATATGAATTAAGTGCTATTAAATTAAGAGAATAAAATTTTTAAATTACGCTAAAATTCAATTTAGTTGTGATTACTACTGCAACTGGATAAAGTAAAATAAAAATTTTTTTTTATATGAAGTATATAGTTTACATAAGTATAAATAGTATGAGTAGAAATTATGGTGAAATATTATTTATGGATTGTTTTAAATAGAATAAGCTGTTATTTACAATAGTTGATGTGAAATTTTGAAATGCTCTTAAGTTCTTCACTCATTAATCGAAATCATTTATATAATGAATTTTATATTTAAGAATGTTCTACTAAAATATTCAATATAATTTTGTGATTTAAAACTGTTTATTGAAGTTAAATTAAATATTTTTAATCATCATTAGTAATATACATTATGCATAAAGCTCATAGAAAATATTTCAATATCTGTTTTAAAGTTAAATTATATTACTTTCAATAGGTCGAGAATAGAAATGTAACATTAACTTATTAATTTGAAGGCACAAACATTTTTTGATGGTGTTTGCTTTTAGCAAATCTATTTTAAAAAAGTATCCTTTTCACTTAATCCACAGATTATATAAAATAGACTATATTATAGCTTAATACATATTGACATTGCATATTGCTATTAAATTCATTATTAATTCAGAATGCAAGTGAAAATTTTATAAAATTCAAATATATGAACCTCAATTTATTATATTATTCTAATTTCTATACTTTATGCAAGAGAAATAAATATAATTAATATTGTGTATAATTTTGAATTTCATGTAAAATACATATTGCTACATTGAATTGCATATACTATTTTCAAAGTTAAATTATTAAAATATTTCAATACATAAATACTTTATAACGATATTTACCTTAAAATCATACATTTTTTAAGCATAGAATTTTATAATAGAAATAATTTTATAAAAAATAATAAAAACTATTATTGTTTATTTTATTTGTTATATAAATAAAAATTTTGAGGATATATTATTTATATCGTACGAATAAAGTGTTTCAATTTGCTAATTATATAAAAATGAAAAACACGGGATAATTTGCTACTTAAAATTCGCTCATAATGTATGATTTATTGATTAATGATGTAATTAATCAATTCCTCATATATTTGTGGGTAAATTATAAAATGAAATTATAAATGTGCATAATACGGACGAATACTATTTAGATCTGAAAAATAAATTTTAAATTACTAAAATACTATTATCTCCAAAATATATATATGATTAATACCACGAACAAATGTGTAGTAAATAAAATGCATAAGATAAATAAATTTTTTTATATAACTATATAATTCTGTTTGATTTAGTTTATTTATTTTATTCATTTGAATAATCTGACAAAGAAGCTTAAGTGTCAAGTACACTTAAGAACTACAATGTATATTTGGGCAAGTTCATATTTTTTTATTAAAAAACAAAATTTGTACATTTATATAAATAGGATTATCATTTAATTTAAAACCTCAATGATATAGACAAAGCATTATTTTACTTTGTTAAAATGCTTTTAAAAAGCCACACTACGTTATCATTTTAAATAAAAAATGCTATATTTCTGAAACATTGATAATAATATAATAAATATGCATTAAAATCTATTGGGCATTTTACAAAAACGTATGATGTTAAAATAAGGCATAATATTATATATTTTATTGTGAAGTAGTTTAAAATTTATATAATTGAATTTAAGAAAACACTGTAATATCTGTAATTGTATCGAGACATTATATTTATAATTTACTTTATCAAAATGATTACTTTATAAAAATTTCGCATGTATATTTGTTTATAAATAAATAATACAATGAAAGTTGCCTTTCCATTCAAATTATAGTGATTTTGAGAATAAATTTAACGTATTGTACTAACAGTTTCAAAATTTATTGCTTATATTAACAACAATGCACGAGCGCAAACTAATTTTGAACATATTTGAAAGCTGTACAATTTTGTTCGATATATATGTAATGAATATCTGTAATGAGCTTTTTTGCAATTGATTTTGTATTTGATCCTTTACAATCCCCCCTTATAAATAAATACCCATATCATATTACATTTTTTACGTACGGAAATTAATATAGGAACGACACGTTTCTCCTTCATTATTATCTTTCATATTTTTATGAAAATTACCTCATTTATAGATAATATTAAACATGTTTTGTTGTCGTTGTTGTTGTTTTTTTGTTTTGTTTTTAACGAACGTTGGCTTTTAAATAATGTTAATTTATATTTTATCAAACTTCATTTTTTATAATGAGCACGTGTGTAATGTATATTGTATTTGATGTGATTGTATTCATTTGGTGTTTTAGTTAAGAACTTAAATACAGTTACATGATGCAGTATTCTATTGATAATCTCAACAATAAATAAATAATTTTATAAGAAATATATAGATAAATTAGTTAATATATAAAATGTTATTTCTTTTATTTATAACCTCTCTAAATAAAATCTTATCTTAGATCTAATTGTTATTATTTCAGATGAATCAGCACAGTTTTTAATCAGCAATATAAATTTATTGATAATAATTAATAATTTATAATATTATGCAGTTATACGAATTTTTATGGTTATAGAACTTTTATAACCAAAATAAGCTTATCATTTGCTGTACTTTTTTTTTTCTTCATTGTTTACCATTATAAAATGATCCATTTTAGATCATTTCATTCGCTAACTGTTCTGTTCAAATATTTGACTCTTAGAGCAATCACCCTCCCTCGGATATAAATTCATTTTACTGATATAGATAATTTTGATAAAATTGACCCTAGTCATTAATTTTAACTTTTCTTCTGTCGTAGTATGATAGATGTAGGGGAAACTTTGTAGGAAAATAATTTTTTACAATAACGACAATCGAATGTCGCGCGTTGTTCAATTGTGGCTTATATGAAAATACATTTAATAAAAAATCATTTCTTACAGAGTGCTAGTAGCAGCAACAACGGAGGAAACGACATTGCCCTGAGTTCGGGTATTGGCGGCAGAAGACAACCGTCTCAGCAATCATTCCAGTCGTCGAAAAATAATCATTCTCATCTCTCTCGCACCCAAACTCCACAAGTGCAACAAGCCCCGACAACGGCCAGGAATCCTTACCAAATACCCGAGACGGCTTCGCGATGCATACGTAAGTTTTTTACTTTCAAATACTTGATATATTCAAATATTCAGAATGACGTTTTTAATATGAAATTTAATCAATCAGCTATTACGGCATTTTTTCTCAAGATGAAGAACTTCGATATCACTTGTCCCGAGTCAAGTAAAAAATTCTTCACAATAATTATTCGTATATTTAAAAATCAAGCGTTCGCTTGTTGACAATATTTATTAGTTAGAATATATTATATACATATGCATTTGTTAAAGAGCGTTAATATATTTTGGCACGAAATGCCATTTTTACAAAACAAAGACAGATTATACAAGAATATTAAACAATTTCATGGATTATGTAGTGAAATTAAATTTAACATACATTTAATACCAATACCTAATAATAATATAATTATTAATAAATTCATATAAATAATCTTAAAATGTATTAATTTAATCTATAATTTGAATAAATCTAATTTGCATTATTTACTTTTCATTTTTATTTAAATTTGAAATAAGATGGAGATTATAAATTGTATCGAAACTATTATCTGCATAATTTTGTATTTATATAATATTGTCTTATAAAACAGAGAAATTTATGAAATTTTCGTTCCATTTTAAGTAAAGTGTTTATAAAATGAAGTTAAAATTCAATTTTAAATATGCTACATTCCGAAAATCTTAAATCAGAATATCTGCAGATCAAATAGCCTTTTACAATTGCCTCATTTCCATTCCTTCAAATAGATTTTATTTCCAATAAAAACATGCCGATAGACTTTTTATGTTTATAATGTTTAACGAAACAATTACGTGCCCTAGTGCTCTATCTATAAATAGTTCAAGTCTTATTATATCAAATTCGGAAATTAAAAATTGCCTAACAAAAAAAGTCAATTAGAATTGAAAATAGAGAACGGTAAAATATAATTTTATTAAAATTCATTTAATTATAAAAATAATTACATTTAATTTACACGTTCACTTTATTTTTTAATAAATACTCTATATATTTAATATATTTTCAATAAATACCCTATAAATAGTTGGCTTTTATATATATTTTCTAAATATGCGTTGTTGGCAACTATTTTTTATCGTTAATAGACTAATGTAAGATTTATTTTTATTATATAATATTTTTACATACTATAATAATGTGGTTATTAAATCGACATTCCTTATTTCAATCACCTGAATAAATGAAATTTATCAACAGTCACAAGTAAATTTTAATAATTGACGGCTTTTTAATTTTTAACTTTATCAAATGATAATTAAGCAGAGTTTTAAACTTTATCCTAATAATTATCGTCGTTGTTTGTTCGTTTGTTTGTTTGTTTGTTTGTTTGTTTGTTTGTTTGTTTGTGCGTGTGCGCGTGTATATGCGCGTGCATGCGCGCGTCCGTGTGTATAATTATCATTTCATGATAATTAGCAGCGTTACATTAAGTAATTAAAGATAACAAGAACGGTTTCAAATTCAAGCTTTACGATTTCTCAATTTTGTTAATTTTCTTGCACTCGGATTTAACATTAACCTGCAACCAAAGTTAGTAATATTGGAAGGAAAAGCTATTTTCTTAAGCTATTGAGCAGCAAAGTGGGTAATGGGAGAATTCGCGGTCAAAGGGACGAGTTTCTGTTATCCTTCGGGACGACAAAAGAGGTCAAAGACATTAGTTTCACGCGATTAGTAATCTCGCAAAGAATCAAAGTATAGGAACAGGTCGATGCTCATGCGTATAGGTTCTATTCAACGGCTTAGATTTTTTTTGGCTGTGCCCTAGAGAGATCCTAGGGTATTAGAGCCGTCCTATTTCCGTCATTCTCACACATTGGGAAATGAGATGAAGTAAGATAGATAAATTGAGATAGGGGAGGGAGAAAATTATCGTAGAGGGATGATCCACCCCTAGATGTATAGTTACGGTGGATCTGGAGAGCGCGAACGAAAAACCTGCCAAAAGACATTTGGTAAGTAGTAGACATGTAGTGGCTCCAATGAAGCAGGAAGTTGTTGCCACTATTGAAGAAAGTGATTTATGTATATAGAGAAGATAGCACAAAGTGGCGGAATTTCTTTCGACACTAGTGGGAAGGAGAATCTTTTTCTATTTTACGCGGGCATGAATTACAACTTCCTCTTTCTCCCATTTTTTTTCTCTTCTATTCTCCTTTATCAAAAAATTTTTTTAAATATCACTACCATATTATGATTATCTTCTATCCTCTGAAAATCTTCTCTATATGCTTTTTGGTAATAATTAGCTAGATTATCTTATTATTGAAAATGTCATTGTACTGCTAAATGCTTCTCAATTATTATATAAATGTATTATAAAAAAAAAATGTGTGTGCGTATGATCTTACTGAATATGAAATAAGCAAGACTATGAATCACGATTATTGCGATGACAATAGTCACAAAGAGCTTACCGTCGCTCGATGTTATCTGAGAGTCAATTATGTCTATGTTATCAAAATCTGTTGTCTTCCTTTACATTAAAGTTCTCTGTATCCATGGGATAGTTTTAATCAATATATTTTAAGTATTTCTATGAAAATATTTATACATTTTATATAAAATTCTCATTTTTTAATTATTTTATGTTGCATAATCATTCTATATTAATTATTATTAACATTATTGAATAAATACAAGAATTTCGTAAAATAATAGTTGAAAGAGTTATTAAGTAAAGCATAGATTAAAGACAACATATCAATAGATTATGGGATACCGAACCAAGTATAAAATATTTAATGAAACTAACGTTTGAATTGTAGAGACTATTTGAAATTGCGAATGAGATATATTGATTAATATGTATTAGAAATTAAGATATTTAAAAATGAAATGCTTATTAAAAATATGTATACATAAATTCTGCATTGGAATGCTTATAGTATGAAATAGTGGTAAAAATTATCACTTATATGGTTAAAATGGTGTATTAATTAAATATTAGATTGAATAAATATGAGATTAATTAAATATTAGATATTTTATTATTAAATTAACGAGATAAGTGTCATGATTTTAGATATTTCTCTAAGTGTAGGAATTTAGAAGAGAAACTGTTGTTACAAAAGATCTACGTCAAAATATTATGCATCACATATGAATCTTAAAAAAAAAAAAAAAAAAAGATTGATAATTATGGCCAAAAAAAGTATCGAATACTAATTAAAAAAATTGTAATACATAACTGCCCCTTTAAAAATTTGTATTAAATATTTTTCGTTATATAAGTTACATAATGAATAATATAATATTCTTAATATATGTTATAAGAATTCCCTATCATTATAATATTATAAATTTAACATGAACGAAAAATATTATTTATCAAAACAGCTAATACATAATTAAGATGCATTGTTAGACAAAATTTTGAATAAATTAACGTACATTGAATGAGCTAAAAAGGAATATTTCTCAAATCCTAACTTCTAATATTAATAGTGAAAAATATAAAATAAATAGACGATCAATATCTAGAACACGTTAATCTTATTTAAAATAATTAATATTAAATAGGTCAAGTTAGGAATTTCATATTTTAGAACGGTAATTAGATAATGTACACCGATACGAAATAGAGAGCCGGATACAATTTTATACAAATCGTGTAGAAATGCATCGGTGCATACACAAAGCTTTAGTAATTTAAGATTTGTGCGTCTCAAATTAATCTGCATTAGTTTGTCAAAATTTTAAATGTTACTACAATTATATCTGGATATCAGAGAAATCCGTTTATTAGACATCGTTCTAATATATAAAATCAATAGAATTCATTGAAAATTTTTAAATTAATTTAACAATATTATTCAAATATGATTGATGTTACACCAACATTGATATTAAAAAGAAAACTTATTTAACATTCAAATTAAAATATTAATTTTAATAATGTATATTCTAAATCAATTAAATCGATGATTGAGTTAAATAAATGTTTTATTAACTTTAAATAAACTAAAAAATAATTCTATATGAAATATTTAAAAAAATAATCTTTATAATTCTTTCAACGTGGCTATTGAATTGAACATAAATCCATAAAATATAATGATTTTAAAATGACTAAATCATGATGTTTTTATTTTTATAGAATTTTTTCTGAAATCAATAAATTTTAATTAAAAAATTGAAGATAATTATTTATATTAATAAAAAATTTTGTTTATGCTTTCATATATAAGTATTAATTTGCATTTATTGTACGTTGTTGATGGATATATAATATAAATAATTCATAAATAAAATTAATATAATTTATTTTTACTTTAATCTTGTTACATATTGATTTTCTTCACTAATTATTACTTTTTAAAACTTAAAACTACTGTTTATAAATGCTTAATAATAAAAAATAAGGTAAAAACAAATGAGTTACAGAAGGAAATAAACGAGTATGCGCTAAGTAATTATTATTTATTATACATTTATTGGTATAAAAATAATAATCATTGATAAAATAATAAATATTTTACGGCATACTGAGCCATATACATGTATTGACTAAAATATTGTAATTATAAAAGTAAGAAATCTCATTCATTATTATTGTTTCCATCAATACTATAAGTGATTTATATTTGATATAACAGAAGATGATTATCACATGATATTTATTTATAACAATAAGTGTTTTTAATAATTTTTTTTTTTTTTTAATATTTTATGTAAAATAGTTTCATGAATTTACTTTTTTTTTTTAAATTACTTAATTATGTAGTTAAAAAAGTTGTAATTATTTATTACTCTGATTAATTTAAATGTCGTATATGTAAACTTTATTTTGAAATATTTTTAACGACAAATTAAGGTCCACTCTATTAATATAGTTTTAATTATTGATTGATTAATTAAAAAAATCAATGTGTTGGTATATAATAATAATTATAGGAGGATATAAAACGAATATTTACTTAGAAAAATTCGAGATTCGTTATGCGGTAAATTATTAAATTTAATGCAATTAATAAACATAAAATGTCATTAAAATATTTATTTTTATAATTTCGAAAATTCAAATACGAATATATCATTGTTCCGTCGAATTTGCGTACAATTATAATATGATAATCATTAATGTAATATTTATATATTAATTTATTTATACAAATTTCTCATTACTGTAATAAGCTAATTCAGCTGCAATTCATTCAATTTTAAATAAAAATTCTCTTTTATAATTATATATTATATAATACGTTGTACGCTTATAACGCATCTTTTTGTAATTTTAAGGTAACTTTTATATAAGTTCATATAATGAATATATGTTAAACTCAAATCTTATAAGATTCTACAATACATTAACCTTATTTCTCTGCCCTGTTAGAATTAAGTTTTGGTTTAATCGTACATAAATTTTCTCAAATACAGGCGTATAATGTAGGAATTAAGGTAAAATTTCACATTAGTATTCGATATCAGTATAATAATACATCTGCTATAATATATTTTAAAAATCGTATTTGAAGATAGGATTATTTATTTAGCTAAAATTCGATTTCATTAGCTAAAATCAGTAAGATACACAATTGATTGAAAATATAAAATATTTCATTTTTATTTGGTCTTTAATATGATATAGAAAATTTAATATCTCACGATTATGTTAATTGAACTTTCCAAGGCTTGTTCTTCAAATTCCAATATGTAATTTGACAATATATGACAAATAAATATCAATTTTTTTGCTAAAATAATAAAGAAATATATATTTAAGAAAATTTTTTAAAGCACATAAATATGTAAGAGAAAGATTTCTAAAAATATTTTAAAAAATTTTTATGCCGATCGATATTGCTTTTGATTTATATGTTAATCGAGAAATTCATTTTTATAAAATCGTTGCTTTTTTCAGCAATAAGTTGCACGACAGCTGTCATCATATAATAGTCATAATATTTAAATATAATTAAAAATATTACTAATTATATTTACGCATCTTCTGGATTGCATGTACAGCAGAGAAGATAAAAAAATATATTTAAAGAAAAATTTGCTTTAAACGATATCTTCATTATTATCAAAAAATATTTTAAGAACTATATTATGACATTTAGTTGATTTGATTTTATCTTCCATAAAGCTTTCTATTAATGAATTAGTTGAACATCTTTTTTATAATCATTGGTTTATTATATTTAAAAAGATGGAATTATTATATTCCTAAATGATACTTAATAATTATTATGGTAAATGAAAATAATACTGTTAGTTTAAACTTATTTATTCAGTACATAAAAATAAATTTTCTATAGTTCTAACTCATAATCTACAATATTGTAAAAATATCAAAGTTTATATATATATATATATATATATTTTTTTTTTTTTAACAATCATAAATACATTAGTTTGTTACGAATTTGATTTTCAAAATTTATATGAAAGCTTATGCAACTTATTAAATCTGTAATAATTTAGTAAAAACAAGATAAAAACAAAAATTGTTATAAAAATAGAAAAAATTATAAAAGTTACTATAAATATAAGTTTGCCAATTTAAAAATACAACTGTCTAGTCATATTATTTAAAATTTTGGATAGACGTTCCAAGGCCTATTTTGTGTACAAATAAAAATCGAAAAACAGAGGAGTTGACCCAATAAGCTGTCAAAACATTTCTACAAAAATAGTGATTAATTGACTTTATTAATACATTTTCTAATAATATTCAGTAAAAAATAAGTATGGTCTATATTATTGTCGATGATTCGTTTTTAAAACACAAAGTATTGTGGTGGCATTGTACCTTAACAAATTTATTTGCCAGTGTCAAAATCTTTTAATTCATAAAAAAGAATGACTGTTATATTCACTTTTCACGCCCAATGATTCAAAAATGCGCTCATAGATTTATTAGAGGTGATGGAAGAAACAAAACTGTAGATACAACATCAGAATAGCTGATTTAGTGGCTTTAGTGGATAGACGATAGCAATAAATATATCAGGTACAATAGCTGTTACGATACGTTTGATTTTTATTTTAATTATTAAAAATGTAACTATTCATATAAAGATTTTTACTGAAAAAATTTCTAACTTTCTTGAATATAATGATAAGCTTTGAAAAAAATTTAAGCTCCCATTTGAGCAACTTGTGACATGACAAATGTTCTAACGTAGTAAAATTAATAAATCCTGTGTGTTAGCTTGTGACAAACGAAAATTTTTATTTATTGGCATCGAAAAATTCATTATTAAATAATTTAATTAAAAATGAACGGGAGCTAATAATTAAATCAAATAAATCTATTCATCGTTTGATAGTATCTATTAGATATATATATATATTATCTATAAGTTATCGATTAGTTATCTCTTAGTTACAATAATAGTTCGATAGTACATAATATTAAACGATTCTTTGAAAAATAATTTTATTTGTAACATTTAAAACAAACTCATATTTTCATTGTCAAGATAAATCAATTTTTTTATTTGCTTAAATTGTACAATTTCTCTTAGTAAATCGAGATATGGATATTATATATTGAATTAAGCAGATAATTAAATACATAATTAACAGATTAAAATACATATCGTTAAATAAATCTGACAGGAAATCATATGAATCAACATATTTTTTATCAAATCAAAGCATAATTAAAAGTTTAAGGCAATAAATTATTACTAATTGTTTTCAAAGCCAAGTTTTAATGTAAGCAAATTTTTAATGCTTTTTTTCAAGATAAAAATAAATATCATCATTTCGTATTCTTTATCTTTTTTTATTTGCCTTCTATAACATTATCGTGCTTATTTCTTATTTCTTCTACTATCAAAAAACGATTCTTCCAATGTTCCAAATTAAAACATTTAAATATTCATCAAATATTTATTATAATTTGTAAAACATAGTTTTATCGGAACAATACGATTATTAGTCATATTTGTATATGTATTAAAGTAATAAATGAATTGCTGAATAATAAATAATGTTGCTTGTAATTTAATAATATATATATATATATATATATATATATATATATATATATATATATTTATATTCTCTAATGTAATTGTTATGATTATTTTAAACAACTAATTTGTCTTCATTTGTATTTTTATAGATGTGAGGTCATCATCTCGAAATTTAGTTTCTACACGCAATCAGCAAAGCATAACAAAGATGCTTCTGCTTATTAGTACAGTTTTCATTCTCCTGAATTTACCAAGGTAAATAAATTTGTGTCCATTTCGATTAAGACGATAGAATTATATGTATTGCATGTAAAATTACATTACTATCAATTAATTTTCATATAAAACCTATTTTTGTAAGAATGAAATTTTTAACAAAAAAATTTTTTTTTTTTGTCACAATATTTCTTGATTTCTTATAAAACCAATTTTAAAAGACATGCATGTAAAGGCTTTGCAATAGTTAAAATTTTCTTTGTACTAAAAATATTTGAAATAATAAGCAAGTAATATTACATATGTTAAATATATTAAATATATTATTGAATTTGTATTGAAATCACTTTATATCACAGAAATAAGAATATTTGCATTTGGAACATTAGAAAGCAATTTTTCTGTTAAAGACGCGTGAATGTTATTTATATAAAATAGAAATTTAAGAAAAAAAAAATTAAATAAATATTATCTTTGGTAACACATCATAGAGGTTTTAAATGAAAGAGCAATTTCTTATAAAATATAATAAAATGACGCGTTCATGTTTAGTTTCAATATTCCTTATTTCCCCCGATAAAAAGAGAATATTTATTCTATTCAATTTTTGTTCTTCAATTTAAATTTATTTCAGTTCAAATGAATATACGAATTAATATAAATGAATAATTATAAATATACTGCGATATATAAAGAAAGCTCTAATATTTATGTTACAAAATCGTTATTTACGTCAAAGCTATTATAAAATTAAGATTGAAATTCATTTAAAATTAGATAGAATCAATGCTACTTTTTCAATAAATCTAAAAAATTTTACTAAATTTTTAATCAATGAATTCTTAATATCCTAGACATATAATTATACAAATAAAAACATAGATAAATTATAAAAATGAACATTTCCTATCAAAAATATCATATTTCCTATAAATGCAGAACACTGTTGACATTCATATACCGGAATTGCACGATATTCGGTTTATATGTTCATATGATGTTCGTATGCACCAAAATAATGTTACCATATATTCAACTGATTTATGCTTATTTTATTCATTTAGTAATTTTTACGAACTAGAAAGCAAAACATTAAAGTAATTCGATAATGCTATTTTAACATTAAATTATAGATTGAATTTTTATATGTTAAATATTTATTTATCGATAAAAGAATAAAAATATTTGTTTGTAAATGAATTATTGGCGATTCAATAAAGCATAATAAAGTTTCTTATATAGGGGAAAAATAGAGAGATCGCTATTGTAGATCATCAAATACGGCAGTAAAAATATTTTTTTAAAACCAAGTAATGGTCATATATTGAAATTAGAAATAATAATAGAAGATTTTATGAATTATTTCAACCAAAGATACATATTTATAATTCAAAATCAATCGACATAATTTTTGTTTAGGTTTAAAAAATTACGACGGAACTTGAAATTAATTAATATCGTAGTGATCCAAATATTTAACATTCATACAGATTTGTGATAAATGTTTAAATTATAAGCTATAAACATAGATTCGTTACTCGCAAATTCACAAGATAATAAGAGTCACTGTTCTTTTTTTTTTTTTATCAAATAATGAAATTTTTGTAAAGGATAGAAGTAATTTTTTTAAATTAATATATATTGATTGCATGTTATTACATCAATAGTCTCAGATATAATCTGAAAAAGGAAAATTTAAGCTTTAAATGATATTGAAGCGATAGTTTAGATAGTTTATACAATATATTAAATGGGAATATGCACGTCCATCCAAACGAAGGGAGGAGAAATGGTCTCTGCCGATACCGGAATTGGTATCAAATTATATAATCTAATCATCGGACGTCTCGCAAAAAGTCCAAAGATAGGTCCTATTATCATTGCAATCGGATAATCGAGAATTAAGCGATATTCTCGATCTATAAATTTCCGACTCGCATTAAAGTATACTAATACATTGCCAACTCGTTGTCGATCCGTTTTGGTCAACCACACATACCCTCTCGAACGTGATCGATAGTATTGGCTGACTAATTGCCAGATTTTAACACGAATACCCAATTAGGGAATCCCTCGGACAGAAGTTTGGAAAAATGATATATTATTACATTGTACGGATGGTTAGTGTTTGCTTGCCATATTACATTATGGGGATTTCCTGCTTCGTCTTGTTTCTTTTTATAGATTTGTGTTGCTCTACTACTGTTATCATACGGTAAGCAACGTTTAATCGAATAAATGAAAAAAATCTCGTCGAAATTCTTAAATGATTTGAAATGATTAATAATTGAAATTGTATATACATGCCGTGTCAAGAGAATTTTGAAATATTTTTGGTAATTAATTGACTGACAAAAAAGAATAAAAATCTTCTTTTTTTTTGTCTGTATTCATGATGATTGAATTCGTGAAGAGAATGAGGGAGAAACGAGACTATTTATCACTTACTGACACATGTCAAATATGCAGCTATAACAAATACTAGGGCATTAGTATGTGTGTTTTACTTTCTATAGTAGTATAGGGTGGCTTCAGATGCATTTACGACAATGGTTGTACGACTCCATTTTTCTCCATTTTTTATTATTATTTTCATCTACATATTGCTCTCTAGATCCTTTTAACAATATCGCTTAATACTTTTCAAGGGCTTATGCTCAAGTATTTTACATATGAGTAATTTAATTGAGATCTACCTGCTTTATTAACACCATCGATATTTCCCGATATCTCCTGATTATTACCACATGGTACTTTCAAAAAAGAAATTTAATAACGAACTACGTTTAATTATTGGATTAAATATTCATTATCAGTTATTACTCGGGACTACGTTACAAATTTGTGTGTAATATCCTGTCCTTGACCTGAATTCGTAACACCTGTAACAATTCACGTTTCGATTTTCTTATTATGTATTTCGTTATCTTTAAGCAATTTCTCCGTATATTCGTTTTTTTTTTTTTTTTAATGTAAGAAATTGAGCTATTGCTTATTATTATATGTACTATTTCATATTATTATTATTATTATTATTATTATTATTATTATTATTATTATTATTATTATTATTATAAGTATATACATGTCTATAGTTATCGATAACTTTTGTAAAAAGATCGATATTTGCTTTACTATTGATATTAGTGTTAACTTTTCTTTCTACACTACTTTGATAAATTAACGTATAATTGTGGACATAATTCAATATACATAAAACCACTATCACTTTGAATATTATTATTTTTAATTTTCACAAAGGTAATTCAATATATTTAACAATATGTAGCTACTTTATCTGAAATATCAATTTTTGCTGCTTATAATTAATGGGATCTACCTTTTATATTTGTAAGCTACTTTTTTTAGTAAGAAAAATTATCTTTGTTTGCAAACAACGTATATGTTATTTCATAGGATCCTATCTTTTATATATTATTTTTATATTTTCATTATCTTACATAATTTCATGTAACATTTATTTCATTCCGTGTATAAAAGGCTTCAGAATCAGTAGAATTCACGATACTCATTTGTTGTAATTGTATTAAATGTAATTGTAATTAAATATGTAATTGAAATTACAATCAATCTGCTTTCCTATTTTTTCGCTTTTAAATTTTTTTTTTTTTTTTTTTCATTCATTGATTCTTTCTGACGCAGTCTTTTTCTCTCTTCTTTTTTTGTAACTTCAGCGATCCCTACTTGAATTAAGTGCGGCTTCTATAATTTTTTATGTCTTCTACGATTGTTCTTCCTAGTTATTTATAGATGTTTGTACCCAATGTATCGTTAAGGTCAATGCAATGAACTTACATTTGTTTCCCAAACTTTGATTCGTATTATGTTTCAATCCCTAATTGTATAAATTACTTATGAGATTAACTTGACGAATATGTGTGAAGAAAACTATTTAAAAAATCTTCTTTAGTAATGAAATAATTTACTCTTTCAATTGCAAAATAAATAAATTTATGCATTACATGTATTACAATAGGCTGTAATTTTGTAACCAAATAAATTTCCAGTACGGTGTTTCTAAATTCTCTTAGTTTTAATACATATTTTTCCACATTAATTGACAATTAAACTATAATAATTATGAGAACATACATTTTCTATATCTACAATCTTCATTTTCTTCGCAATATTGCCTGTATAAAACATACTACTATATATACTCTGTCTCTGGCTCTCACACACATACACGCGCGCGCGATCCCTAACAAACATTAAATGTGCGATCATACTTGGGAATATGTATGTAGAACATTCGTACACGTTTCCCATATGTATGTAAACCTTGAACTAAGAAACCCTTGTTACGCACACATGCAACCCTCTCTTATAGGCTCGATGTTGCGTAACGAATAAGCAGTAATACGACAAGGTCCAGCGTCTTTTCCTTGTTCTGACAACTCAAGTCTTCATGGATGGCTGTATCCCAAGCCATTCGATATGACTATTGCTTTATAAAATAGTTATTTCTACCTTGAATCGAATATCCCCACAACAACTGGAGTAATATAATCAGGGTGTAGCTTTATAATACAAGTAGTGATGTAGGCTTTCTTTTTTCAAAAAGTAAACAAGATTATATAATGTCTACATATATATATATATATACATAGAATTTTTTTTTTTGATCAATAAAAATGTTTTAAATATGTTTTGAAAATAATTTATGCGACAAGCATTAGAACTATTAGTATGATGCATGTGATTCTATAAAGCTACAATATATTACTATGTTTATCTGAATTACTAATTTAACATTTTTTTATCATTCAAAAAGTGTAAAAAAGTGTAAAATAAGGCAAATTATAATAATATAGTATTCGATAATGATAAAAAATCCTTTGAAAAATTTATAAAAATGGGATATTTCTTCTTTTTCTTATTCTTTTTTTTATAGGGGTTTTATCCGTTTTCTTCGTTTTATTCTCATACTCTCGCTTTTTACTTACGTATCTTATAAATCCGTGTTCGTCGTCGAGTCTCTGCTTTCCATAAAGTGTATTATTACTTGCGTATGTATACGAAATTCGGTTATGTTTATATGCTTGAAAGGTGGGATTAAAATGTACAAGTGTAAAGAGAAGTATTTCATATGGAAAAATGTGCTAGGAAAAGGGAAATAACACATTCGTATGAAGTTCGCAAATATTAAAAATAAAAATAATTTTCGAGACTTCTTAAGTACAGAAATATGTAAAATATTAGATTAGTTTGAAATAATTCCTTTATATATTCAATAAAAACAGCATTTCATTATTTAAAATTATACCATAAATATACTCATCTTATGCCTTATACGTATTTTATAGATATAAATTTAATGGCTGACTCAAATATAATACTGTATATATATGAAAATTAATGAATTTTCTGAAATGTATGATTTTTTAAATAAAAATATTTGCTCTAGCCATACATCCACATGATTGAATGTCATTTGAATTCATTACATACGTAATATTACAATATTGTGCGTTGATATTAAAAAAAATAAAAAATAAAAAATAAAAAATAAAAAATAAAAAATACAAAATAAAAAATAATAATAATAATAATAATAATAATAATAATAATAATAATAATAATAATAATAATAATAATAATAATAATGATAATAATTATAATACGAAGGGCGACCAATAGATTTAATAAAAGAAACTAACTAAATTTTTTTTTTCAGCTACGCCATACGATTATGTGTCTTTTTCTTCACGCTGGCGCGTAAAGATACACCTGCGTTACTGTGGTGTCTTCAGCAATTTTTTATGTTACTGTATTATACGAATTTCAGTATCAATTTCTTATTGTATGCGATGTGCGGCATTACATTTAGACGTTGCTTAGATCAGCTATTGCGCAAAGTTCTTAAAAATTTAACAAGGTATCACTGTAATCCTCAGCGTTATATATAGCTAGCATTTAGGTATTCAAGGTCATTAAGAAGTCACACAGAAATAGTTATCATGGCCACGGGAGAAAATTCGCAATGTCTTTAAGAATTATCAATTGCGGATTAGCTTTTATGTACAACTGATATCAATGTAAACTAGTTTACATTATGCAAATTTTTAAAGATTTATCCAATCTATTGTCAAGTGATTATAATTTATTGTTCATTGACTATTCATATACCTTATATTAATTTTTTAATATTATTATTAATATTATAATATTAAAGTTAATTATCAAATTAAAAATTAAAATATTACATTAATATTAAAATTAATATTATGATTAATTTTAAATATTAATATATAATATTTAAAAATTTGTATTCAATATTTCTTAATTTAAATTATTTATTAAATTCTTATAAAAAAATAACAGTATTAGTTTATTCGTTAAACAGAGATAGTTCCTGTTAAAACTTCAAATTTGTCAATTTATTCAATTGTCGTTTTCTTGACATTAAATTACAAATTTAAGTTTTGAATCGCATTAAATAGGTATCAACATTCATTTTAATATTAAATATATCAGTATTTTATTATTTTTTGCATACAAAACTTAATAAAACTTAAATTATTTACGTAGAAATTACTGATTGATTTGTATAAACAGAAATTCTGTAAAAATTCTAATGCAGCTTCGTATTCTCGAAAAAAATTATAATTACAAAGGCTGTTTTGTAATGAATCTCTTTAATGAAAGTATTTACATTGTTTAATAATTACAAGATTCCGTAATCTATCAATTAAGAGTCTATACTTTATAAAAAAGAAAAAAAAAAAAAAAGATCTTATAATACATAATAAACATTAATTATATAGAGAAATATACCGTATATTCTAAGGAATATAAAAATATTTTAATAATTGTAATAATTTCAAATAATAAAAAAAATTTTATTATCGACGTAATGTGTTAATTTTTTATGTAATCTTTTTTATGTAATTTTATGATAAAATGATAAACAAAGGGTAAGAATATAATATTATGTATAAAATATGTTTGAATGTATTTTGGTCAAAAATTTTTTCAATTTAATATTCTCATATACTCTGAAGTTAAGATTAAATTAAATTAAAAATTCACATTAATTTATATCAATTTAATATATAGTGTGAAAAACTTATTGATGAAATATTAATATTAAAATCATTTATTTGTATAGCAAATAATATATAAGACAAAAATTGACATAAATAAATTGACTACATAAATGCTTTGCAATATTTTCAATTTTTGCTCATAATAAACATTCCACATCATTAATAATAGCTATCAAATATTAATTTATATGTAAATAATATTTAATATTTATAACCAAATCGTTATGGATACGATCAATTAAATCTTAACATTATAGGGTTAAAATAATGTTTATTAAAAGATAATATTGATTATGAAAATTATGAAAAAGAAATTATGTATGAATTTTAAATGGTGTCATGTACAATATAAATAAAATTAATAGCGATAGTGAAATAATAACATTATTTTTTTAATAAAATCATTTAAAGTATTTTTCAATACGTTATTCGTTAAAAAAATGTGCAATCTAAATAAGTATACACATATTTTAACTTATTATTATTATTTATATATACGTATAAATTTGCTTAATTTACAATACCAGTAAGCTTTTATTTTCATATTCTATGTTGATCAACCGAATATCAATGCCATTGATAATTTCAAAATACCAAACTAATAATAGTCAAATAATGCTAAACAGTGCAAAGAAATGAATTATTTCAAAATTTTTGTCCAGTAAATTCTTGCTTACTGCGTAAAAAAGTTTTAATACAATATTTTTTTAGCATATTTGTTATAAGATAATAATTTGTTTACGATATTAATTAAATAGAATTTCATAATATTAAGTACATGAATTTAAAGAGGTTTTTAATATACAAGTGATAAATTATCAATGTAATATCTAAATGATATGTATATTATTGTAAAAGTTTATTCTTAATTAGCATTAGTATTTACTAGATTTTACATCAAAGCTCACTTACACTTAGGCTATTATCAAAAGCATATCAGCAAATCTGAAATATCATGGAGAAAACAAATCTGTCTGAATAAAAATACTAAACAATAATTCATATATATTATTGCACATCTTACTACATTAATATATGTGATTAGATTTTTATTGATCACTTCTATTTATTTATTATATATCTTGGCATATTATTTATATAATAAAAAGAATAGAAACAATCTAAAATAATATTTACTTTTATAAGTAATTAAATACAAGTGTAATAAATTTACATAATTCAATACTGTTGCTGAATATAAAGAATTTTTCTTTATACACCCAAAAATTAAATGAAATAACTTTAAGACCAAATACAATTTTATTATAATATATATATATTTACAATGTAACATACTTCATATATATGAATACCAGATATATATATATATATATATATATATATATACTTTCAGTTTGTATACATCATATTTAAAAAATTACAGTCTAATTTTCAAATATTTTCTTCCTTTTATTATTATTTATTATAGTTTATGTTTATCTAAAATACCTACACTGTATTTATAGTCTTATAGATTATTTTCATAGTTTCTATTTTATATATTTATTAATATTTGATTTAATTTACGTTTAAATATTTTATGCTTATTAATGTATAATTGAAACAATTTTTATTAACAACATATTAATAGAATGTTTATTTATAAAAAGAGCACTTTGTTATATGACAGTATGACCTTGATACCAAAATTTATGTAAAATATTTATGTGTATAATAATGAATTTTTATTTTTACAGTTACGCAAAGAAATATATTACGCTGTTACGCTCATACTTGTTACAATATTAATTAATTATTTTATAATAATTGACAATAACATGATATGTTCTAAATATTCCAAATAACATCCTTATTTTAATTAAATAAATAATAAAATATGGCGTACTAAATCACTTTCAAAATTTATTTAATATTCTTGTTCCTTATGAATTAAATATCAAAGCTATTTTAAGTCTTTAAATGCATGAGATGTTATTAAATAATTTAGAACAAAGTTATTCATTAAAAATATAATTCTTTAAAAATGAATGAAATTTAATTTGAATGAAAAATATAATGAATAATTATTTTTAAGTGTACGTTCAGAAATATAGGCTTATATAGAAATTTTGAAACTATTAAATAGTATAAAAATATTTATATTTCGATATTTATGTGATCAGACTTGGTATATATACGAATACGTAGAGAGGAGTATTATTGAAGCTGCATTATAAAATTTATTTGACAATATTTTGTACTTAGAAATACATTACCATATAATAATATGTTTAATAGGTTTAATAAAGAAAAAGTGCATACCGAACTCAACAAATACATTCTATAAATTTTGTTATTTTAATATTATTAGCAATGTGGCAATATTATTAGTTAATAATATTACAAGCCGCTTGATTTGTAGAAATTTAAGATAATGATATTAGATTAACATACAAATTTTTTCTTTCGATCATATACAGCTATGGCAGTGTGAAAAACAATTTAAAAATAAAATCATTTATAGAATTTTAAGATGGGTCTTATTATAAAACTTAAATTTAATTTTCATAAATATTTCTGGAATATCGATTACACATTAAATATCATCCATATGGATCTAAGCTTTTAGTAAATCAATTTGAATATCACGCTAAATGTAATCCATATATTAAACTTCACGTATTTTATTAAAATACATTAAAAAAATATATATTAAAGGTCACAGATTTTTCATGATAGTTTAAATTATAATTTTGAATTTTAAATTTATTGCAATCTAAGAGATAATTTCTATATTTATTTCTATGCACAAAAATATTTCTTTTATTCTAATTACACTCATGCGTACTTACACATTCGCACATAGTTACGCAAAATTTATTGTTACATTTTAGTTTACAATGGAATGAAAACTCAGTGGGTATAAATAAAATATTTTAAGATTTTGAAAACTAATATCGGAACATATTTTGTTATAAATTCACTATTAC